ATTCAGGATCCTTCAGTCCGTATGCGCAGAAATGGAAATCTCCCCAGATCACGGATGGATCTGAAAACAATTGTTGCATGCATTTCAGATACCATATCCTGGATGTCTGAGGATTTTCGATGATGAAGTATCTTCTGTGCATCAACTGATATCGCGTAATGGATGCCACAAATTCAACCATGGGAAGGTAGCGTCTCCGCTTTTCCCCAACCTTTTGTTGGTCTTGTTGGATGTTCTGCATATTTGACCATGGTCCACAGACCGGTGCCACAAGGATGACATCAGGTGCTTGTTCCCTGATGATCTCCATGACCATGTGTCGTCCCTTGGATGTCATTACATCGAATCCTGTGCGGATGTCCCAACCTTAAGACCTGATAGTGCACAGCATTGACTAAATCTGGCACTTCCTGCAAAGATCTCGAGAACGTGGATCTTTCCCTTACGTACACAATTCCAATGTGCTTGTTCAGGAATGGATGTGAGGTCCTCGACGAACATGTTCTCTGCTGGATGAGGCACTACAGGTTTTGGAGATGTTTTTCCCGCGATACGTATTGGCACTGAGGATCTTGGAGGAGCCTGGTTGCTCCTTCTGCAAGGATTCTCGCTCTTTTGGTAACAGAAGATCAATTCCGGGTTTCTCCGGAGGGATGGTCTCATCCTTCCTGAGCTTCGTCATGTTAACCTTGATGAGTCGAGTCCCAAGATCAAGTCCTATCATCGCTCCTTCAATGGAAATGACCTTTCCTTTTAGCCATATTCCTCCCTTGCTTCCATCGGAACGAATCTTGGATTTGTCTTCCTGCCAGTAGAATACCTTGTCCTTCACCTGAAGAGGCTTTGAACTCATTCGGAGATTTTGAGCAAGGTCTCGTCGGATGTCTTCGGATTGACGTGCTTCTTGGAAAGCTTGCTTTGACAGCTGCTTGATCTGGATGGCTGTCAGCTCTTCTTCATTCCTGTCAATCGTCAACTGAGTTGGTGTTGCGACATCGAGTTGGATGAGATCTGCTGGTCGTCTTCCAAATGCGAGCTCCAATGGTGTTACACCCCCGTAGGTGACGGTCTGATTCCTGACAGTTGCAGCGGCCTTCACTAGCTGCCTGTATGTCACTTTCTTCAGTGTTGCAGGTGCTGCCTGCTTTGATGGAACTTAGCATGATTTTGAGTTGTGCCTTCAGGAGTTGAACTGCTGCTTCAGCTCGATTTGGCCATGGTGTATTCGGTCCCAAGGATATCGGTGTGATGTCAAGGGACTGATAGAAATGTTCCCATGTATCTGTCATGAAGGCTTGATCTGCGACAACTGATTTGGGCTGCAAGTGGTACTGGTCAAAATAGTTCCTGAGGACAGTGATGTTCTCGGCTTCTTGCGTACTTGTCACTGCCTCTGCAGTGAGCAATGTTGTTGCTCCATCCAGGATGACAAAAACAATGATGTGTTCTCCTGTTCCAAGAGGAACTTGACAGTGATCAATGAATGTCATGTCACCAAAGGTGTCTGCTCGAAGTCCACTTGTTTTGCTTCGTGATGGTGCATGTTTTGCCGCTTGGCAAACTTCACACTCACTTCGGATCTTGTCAAATAGATCGAATGTTGATTTCGGCAAATGAAGTGCTCGGGTTCTAAATCGAAATTGATCTGTTGTCATGTGATGATGCTGCAGGTGGAGTTTCTTCAACTCTTCGGGAATTGACAATCGGTTGTGTGTTGTGCCTAGGGCGAGCGGAAGCGATGTTGGTTCTTCTGAGGATGGTGCGAAAAGATCTGGCTCAATAGTCGACCGGCCCCTCTTGTCGATGATCCTGTCTGCTGCCGATCCTGAACCTGCTTCTTCGTCCATAAGCGAATTGTCGGCGAAGGTGAAAATGGTCTTACCTGTCCACAGGTTAATCATCGGTCTATTTGCCTGGGATGTAAGTCTCCAGTTGTCTTCTAGAATGTCTGGATCTCCACCTGCAGATGCATCAATGATTTCCGTAGTACGTTCTCGGCTAATGTGATCAGGATTGATTGGACATTCCTTGGCTCCATTTGGTGTGAACAGCGCCTTTCGGGGCGTGATGTGCACACGGATGAGCTGCTTGTTCTTCTTGTCAAGGATCCAATGGTCCTGCTTTTGAGACCCAATGATCTTAGGAGTTGCTAGGTCCTCCTTTGTCTCGGATGATTTTGCTGCACAAACAGTTTCGCTCTTGGTGAGATCCCCGGAGGGAAACTTGATGCTGTTATCATCGTCATAGACATAGTTGATGAGGCCCTTGTGAGCAATTTCTCCATGCGCCTTCACTCTTGCAACTCCAGCGAGATCGACGAGTGCATGTCCTGTACCGGATACTGGGAACTGCTTGACGGTTCATGCCAAAGGCTTTGCATGTGATCTTGTCACATTGAGGTGTGTGCTCGATGGTCATGTAGAGGTTCCGCATCTGGCTGATGCTGAGAAGGATCGGTACAGTTCCTTGTTCAAGGACGTCGATGTTGGTACTGCATGGAGGAGTTGTGTGATATCGAAGATGCAGGGTCCAATTTACCCTGGCGGTCTCTCCGTTTGCAAAAGTGAACTTGGTCTCGGCCGGGATGTACTCATAGGAGATGATGTCCTTCATGGGCTCGATGGCCTGAGTAAAACGCTGGATTGCATGCCAGCTGCCCATAGATCTGGTACATCCATTGTCCAGAATCGCATAGGTCGGGTTGTGCTGAGGGTTGATGACAGGCACCATCAGCTTTGTTGCCAGAATGCTGTGATTTGTTGTGACGGACAGATTGTGTTCTGAAACTGTATCTGATTGGATCAGCTTCTCGTGGATGGCCTTTTTCCCAGGATGCTCATATGCATCATGGAATGCCATTAACGCTTGTCCTGTGCTGGATGTCTCATGGGATGAGTACCAGCCATGTTCGTTCCATGTCCATGATTGATCCCAGTCTTGGTCTGTCCAACCGGCATAGGTAGGCTCTATGGATGGTGCAGTCTGCTGGATGGCGGGCTGCTCCTCCGTCTTCTCTGCGGTGGCTGAGAACGTCTTGGATTTTCCTTTCTCCTGTCCGCTCTTTCCTTTGCCACTCTCATAGGATGGATAACCTTTGTTTCCAACATAGGGATATTGGAATTTTGATTTGCCTTTCCGCCAGAACCGCTTTTTCTGAAGGGTTTAAAGCCACCTCGTTGGTGACTGCCCTTTTTGTTTCCTGATTTTGCTTTTCCTTTTCTCTTCTTGAACTTGAAGTTCCGCCCCGACACTTTTCTTGCTATGAACGCATCGTTCTCCTCGAGGACCCAGAACGTCTCTTCATCGTTGTTTGACATGAATCCTTCAAGTCCTTCTTCATCCTCAACCCAGAAGCCTTCTTCTCCTTCGTATTCACCTTGTTCGATGATGAAGAATGTGTTGCTTCGGTTGCCTCCTTGAGGTCGGATGGATGGATCTTGGATTGATGTCCTCGTCGTGATGAAGAGTTCATGGTAGTGCGTCTTCAGCATCTCATAGGAGTAGTTTTCTAGTGAGATGTTTCCCAATGACATTGCACTTGTCAGTCTCTCTCGTTGCTGATCTGACAGCTCACTTTGAATAATGAAAAACTGTGCAATGAGATTATCCCCGAAGGGAAATGCGTCCCGCTGTCTGTCCTGCATTCCTTGGATATACTGTCTGAGGACTGTTGGATCGTCCCCATTGAGCAGGGCTGGAGGCGGTGCTCGAACGCCGGCTGCTTGCTGATGTCGAGCAATTGTTCTTGCATTTGCGTCCTGTACGGACTGTCGAAATGATGGGGACTGCGCCGTGAAAACGGGCATCAAGTCCATCCATGCTGCCTTCAATCTCATAAGAAGGATTTCGAATTTTGAGGTAAAAATGAGGAACTCTTGGCTCTGCCTTCTATGGTTGAAGAAACTGAGGAGCCTGTACAGATACACGTTGGTCGCACCTTTCAATAAGTACTTCTTCAGCGTGTTCTTGAAATAGTTGACTCCTTCATCAGGATCTTGCAAAAGGTCGTTTTGGAGGACTGCCTTGTACATGTAGGCATCTCCTGTGAGTCTGCTTTTGAGCAGAGGTCCTCTCTTGGGTGCTTCCACCGTTCTGATGGTCACCCAGTCGTCCACGAGTTCTTCATACCTGAACCAGCTGACTTTTCCGTCGTACGATGGCGGCTGCTTGGCGGTCATCGATAAATTTAGTGTTTCCTCCGTAGAGCCTGGATTTTTGGCCATACTTGAATAGGCTTCCATGAAGCCTTCTCCATTCATTGGATGACATCTTCCCTTGGATCTCTGCACAAAACCCACTCCGCTACCACAAATTGAGGCCCTGCCCCAGGTGCCTATCCCCGAACGGAACTGGTACCCTGTGGTAGTAGAGGTCGTTGTGTTGGTCCCTGGATCTATTCCGGAGAGAATCCAATATGCCACTGTGGATGATTGGAGGATGGATTGTCCCTGGTGGATTGTCTTGTGGATAATCCTGTAAGCGGCCTGCTAAGGTTCTTTTGCTTCACGCGATCATGAATGATGCAATGATATACAAAAGGGGCCTTGAGCCAACTGTTGCGGGAGATCAATTGGTCTGAGAACCAAACACAGGGGGAGGGGGGGGGTGACGTCAGTTTAGACGAGGCAAAAATCCGCGCCAAAGAACAATTCTACAACACAGCACTAATACACAAACAAGACTACACACACAAGAACATCCACAAGACACGCCGGCAGTGCCGGCGGATTTCAATACTAGGTACCCTTCAAACAGTTGGTCAAGTATGTATATTGTACTTACACATTTTGACTATATACATATTATATGTGGTTTCCCTTCAAACCACAACCATGCCGCTTTTCTGCATGTCTAGTTACGACATGCAACATGGGACATCTGGTTGGAACATTTGTAGAATATGTTCAAGACAATCTAACGAAAAGTAGGGAATTAAACATAGAGAAATAAGAGGGAGGTGCGGGGAAATACAGGGACGTGACATGCTCAATTTTCGCCAGGTCCTGGGCAACAACACAGCGGTTTGCGCCAACCTGTCGCCAGGAAGCCTTGGGAATGCTTTGTTTGTCCCTTGTGGGGTGCGGTGTGTGTGTGCAGCTAAACTCCTTGATAAATACTCTCGAGAGGTGTATACACCCTGACAACTGAGTTTGGGACTGGAGCTGTTTGGTTGGGTTTTGCGTTGGTTGTCAAGGAAGTGATTTTGGTTGGGGCTTCCCCGTTTTTAATCTGTTCCCTTGGTGTATCTGCCGAGTGCTAGCCTCGTGTGCGAGTTATTGGATTGGATTTGGCATTGTGACCTATGGTTACGACAACTGCCAATTCTGAACCCAAAACCCGAACCACACATTCAGCCGAATATCCAAACACGTTCAATCTGAAACCTCTACACCTCCCCTACACCTCGCGCCCATCGATCCTGCTGTTATGCATTTTTTGGCAAGGCCCGACTGACCCTTCCCCTGCCATGCCGCTCCAGCATGTGTGCTCACCTTCTTGGCCTGCTTCAGCTGTGTTGGGTACTGATGTTTGGGTATGCTCTTCCATCCGTATGAGAGTCATTACAAGGTGTCATTGCAAGGAATCATCATCATGAAAGTCATTGCAAGGAGTCATTGCAAGGAGTCATTGCAAGGAGTCATTGCAAGGAGTCATTGCAAGGAGTCATTGCAAGGAGTCATTGCAAGGAGTCATTGCAAGGAGTCATTGCAAGGAGTCATTGCAAGGAGTCATTGCAAGGAGTCATTGCAAGGAGTCATTGCAAGGAGTCATTGCAAGGAGTCATTGCAAGGAGTCATTGCAAGGAGTCATTGCAAGGAGTCATTGCAAGGAGTCATTGCAAGGAGTCATTGCAAGGAGTCATTGCAAGGAGTCATTGCAAGGAGTCATTGCAAGGAGTCATTGCAAGGAGTCATTGCAAGGAGTCATTGCAAGGAGTCATTGCAAGGAGTCATTGCAAGGAGTCATTGCAAGGAGTCATTGCAAGGAGTCATTGCAAGGAGTCATTGCAAGGAGTCATTGCAAGGAGTCATTGCAAGGAGTCATTGCAAGGATTGCAACTTGCACTTGACACTTGACTCCTTGCAACTTGCAACTTGCACTTGACTCCATGCACTTGCAACTTGCACTTGACTCCTTGCACTTGCTTGCACTTGGCTCCTTGCACTTGCTCCTTGCACTTGCAACTTGCACTTAACTCCGTGCACTTGCGACTTGCACTTGACTCCATGCACTTGGCTCCTTGCAACTTGCAATGGCTCTCATGACTCCTTGCTCCTGCAATGACTCCTTGCAATGACTCCTTGCAATGACTCCTTGCAATGACTCCTTGCAATGACTCCTTGCAATGACTCCTTGCCATGACTCCTTGCAATGACTCTTTGCAATGACTCCTTGCAATGACTCCTTGCAATGACTCCTTGAAACAAGCAAGGAGTCAAGTGCAAGTTGCAAGTGCAAGGAGTCAAGTGCAATTGACTTGCGAGGAGTTAAAATCTCTTCTTAGGGCGGCGGGGTAGTGCCGACGACACTACACGAAAATCGACCCTCTGCGGGGATTGGCGTGGTCGAGGTGCAACAACCCATGGTTTTTTACGATTTCTAAAGTTCCCGCGCGACCCTCTGCGGGGATCGGCGTGGTCGAGGTGCAAAAACCCATGGCTTTTTACGATTTCTAAAGTTCCCGCGCGACCCTCTGCGGGGATCGGCGTGGTCGAGGTGCAAAAACTTGAGGTTTTTTGCGATTTCTGCGGTGCTCGCGCAACCCTCTGCGGGGATCGGCGTGGTCGAGGTGCAAAAACCCATGGTTTTTGGCGATTTCTGCGGTGCCCGCGCAACCCTCTGCGGGGATCGGCGTGGTCGAGGTGCAAAAACCCATGGTTTTTTTGCGATTTCTGCGGTGCCCGCGCAACCCTCTGCGGGGATCGGCGTGGTCGAGGTGCAAAAACTCGAGGTTTTTTGCGATTTCTACGGTGCTCGCGCAACCCTCTGCGGGAATCGGCGTGGTGGAGGTGCAAAAACTCGAGGTTTTTGCGACTTTTCTTGTTCGAACTGGTCCTCGGGAGTTGTCTCGTGGTTCGCGCGCCTGCTCCCGGAACCGGCGGGTCGCGGGTTCGATTCCTCCCTGGTCCGCGGGCGGGCGTCGCAAGATGCAACTTGCATTTTAAAGCAACTTGCGCAGAGCAACTTGCGCAGAGCAAGTTGCACAGAGCAACTTGCGCAGACCAACTTGCGCAGACCTTGCTAGAGCCTTGCCAGAGCAACTTGCGCAGAGCAACTTACGCAGAGCAACTTGCACAGAGCAGCTTGCACAGAGCAACTTGCAGGGAGCGCAATTTGCACAGAGCAACTTGCAGGGAGCCACTTGCAGGGACCAACTTGCCGGAGCAACTTGCGCGGAGCAACTTGCGCAGAGCAACTTGCACAGTGCAACTTGCGTAGAGCAACTTGCGCAGACCAACTTGCACCGACCAGTTTGCGCAGAGCACCTTGCCTGGTGCTGTCTCGCGCTTGCTTCACGAATGCTTCGTGTAGGGAAAAAGAACGCATCCAGCAGCGTTGGGCCGACCTCGCTTGCGATGTTCTGCTTTTGGGCCAACCGTGGTCTAGTTTTATTCCCATCGACCACACGTGGCAAGGTTGAAACACCACATTGAAGACTACAGGGCTAGTAGTGGGTGATAAAAGAAGAACAAACAGTTCTTCCTACCCCCAGAAATACAATTCGAACCTTTGCTTAGCGCCGTGCTGACATACAGCATCACAACATAGCGCAGCGCAAAACGTGTTTGAAAGGAAGCAATGGTAAGCTGAGCCTCAACAAAAAACAACTGGCAGGCTTTGACGGCTAGACACCGAGTTTAACGTTTACAAGTTAGGAACCCATTTGGATGCTTTTCTTTGAGGGTACCCTTTTTGGCTGCACCTCGATTTGCAATTTGCTGTCACAAACACAAATTGCGATTTCCATTTCCATTTGCTAATTCGTGTACTGAATTTTACTAAATGATCATCTCCAAGTTCCAATCTCCACGTCTCAGCAACCTCAATTCAAGGAGCCCGACGCATGATCTCAGGTCCGGCCACGTGTACTGCATGGAGGCGGTGCTAGAGCTCAACAAGAAGAACAAGAATTGGCGGGGCGAGTTTTTGGTTTCCCGGTTTGATCCTTGCAATGTGAAGCTTGGAACTTTCAGGCCCCCCCTCCCTCCCTGTTATGCTTGCGGAAGCTGATGTCAGACCCTTACCAAGGTACCCAGAAAACTGGAGAGAGCCACGTTGGAGGCGCCCAAAGTCTTGGTTGCTCCAAATGATTTCCTGCAAATCACCGTGCAACAATCTTTTGGACAACGATGAAAGCTTCCCATGCTCCCGGAGCGTCAACGGATAGGTTCTTTTTGTTGTGAGAGCATTTTCATGAATCAGATCATCACAAAGTCTGGGCACCGGCCTGAAATGTCAAGGATTGGAACATGAGAGCGGCTCCAGTGAAAAGCAAAGATTTCGGAAATGGAAGGGTAACGGGGGACGTTCCCAGCCATAATTGCAGCTTGCACAGAACGGTGCCAGGGGTTTGGGGTAAGCTCCTTTGCCAGGCTATACTTTCACGCCTCCGGCTCAGGCCGTCGACATTACAGGCCTTGCATCCCTTTGGAGTTGTCCCCTCGCCGCCCTTCCCCTCTAAGATCTTTGCCCCCCTTTCCCTGTTAAGATCCTTTCTCCTTTTCCCCCCTAAGGCCTTCCCCCCCCCCGAGATATTCTGCCTTTTCCTCCCTAAGATCTTTTCCCCCTTTTCCCTGTTGAGATCCTTTGCACCCGTTCCCCCCTAAGGCGTTTCCCCCCTAAGATTTTCTCCCTTTTCCTCCCTAACATCCTTTGCCCCCTTTTCCTCCTAAGGCCTTCTCCCCACCCTGAGAACTTCTCCCTTTTCCTCCCTAAGATCAAATCAACCCCTTTCTCGGGTGATATCCTTCCCCCCCCTTCCCGCCCAAGGCCTTGTTCCGCGAGATCTTCTCCCTTTTCCTCCCTGAGATCTGTTTCCCCCCTTTCCCTGTTGAGATCCTTTCAAGGCCTTTTCAGATCTTCTCCCTTTTCCTCCCTAAGATCTTTTCCCCCCTTTCCCTGTTGAGATCCTTTCCCCTTTCCCCCCTAAGGCCTTTCCCCCGCACTGAGATCTTCTCCCTTTTCCTCCCTAAGATCCTTTGCCCCCTTTCCCTGTTGAGATCCTTTCCCCCTTTTCCCCCCTAAGGCTTTTCCCCCCCCGAGATCTTCTCCCTTTTCCTCCCTAAGATTTCCCCTGTTGAGATCCTTTCCCCCCTTTCCCCCCTAAGGCCTTTCCCCCCCTGAGATCTTCTCCCTCCCTTTGAGATCCTTTCCCCCCTTTCCCCGCTAAGGCCTTTCCCCCCTGAGATCTTCTCCCTTTTCCTCCCTAAGATCTTTTCTCCCTTTCCCGGTTGAGATCCTTTTTCTCGCTTTCCCCCTTAAGGCCTTTCCCCCTGAGATCTTCTCCCTTTTCCTCCCTAAGATCTTTCCCCCCCTTGCCCTGTTGAGATCCTTCCCCCCTTTCAGAGAGAGACAGGTAAAGAGGCAAGGAGCATTTCTTCTGTCCAACACGCCGCCCGTTGTCGGGGTGAGATGCAGGCACACAAAGACTCCTGGTAGCGGTTTGCGTCTCATTGGGAAGCCAAACCTTTGACTGCGTGTTGACATTGAATCTCCTGAGGTTTATATCAATGAACCTGCACCACATCACTATGAAGCCAATGAAGGCATTTGAGTCGTTCCACCCACCAATGGCACTTGCTGTATACAGGCGAGCTGGTTCAGCAAGCGTTGCTTTTTTACGAGATGTTCAGCAAGACCGTTTTATTCGCCGCCCGACCAAGGCGGTGATGTGAGCGCGGCCCAAACCTGGTGTATCGATTGCTAGTTAGAAATAGAAACGTCAAACACCGCCAAGCTAGGCACCTTTGTCGCTCCTTTGGTTGTGGGTGTGTGACACAAGATTTCCCATTTCTATTTTTGCTTGTGACTCAATGGTATTGGGACAGGTCTTTGTTGATGCTTTTTTGCGTGCCAGGAAGGACTTGATGACAAGCCAGCCCTTCAAATGGACAGACATCGCAACTGGGCGGAGAGAGGAAGAGGGACATCTCAAAAGCATTTTACGTTTTCAGGTTCACGGCATGGGCTGGAATCTAACAAAGTCATTTCTGCACAACAGGTTGACAGAGTTAGGTGGGTGTGTGGGCCAGACACATACCTTATTGGGGAGGTGTTTCCTGCAAGACTTGCTTGTACCGTTTGAGGGGAAGTTAAAAGGACGCCGTATGTTTGGAGGGGTTTCATTTGTTTCGACACGCATTTTTTTTTTTAACATGTGGAATCTTTCCAAACGTACGCCTTTCAACACCGACCCAAAGGGAGTCTATTTCCAATACAAGACCATGCACAACCAGATTCCCCCTTTTAGCTGGTTTCCTCAGCGTTATCGTTTGCCGGCAGTTTTGGTGAGGTTCGCCATGTTTGAAGGAAAAGTACAGGACACCCTGAGACTGGATTTGCATGCACTCCAGTTGCTTGGAAAATTGCCAACTTAATTGGGCGAGTTTTCTTTTGTTGGGGTGATGCTTCCGGTTTGGAGACATAGGGAACCTTTTTCCTTATTAAAAGCGAGGGGAGAGCGGCCGGTGACTTAGGTTGAAGTGCTTGGGGTCATTGCAATCTCTGGGCCCTTTGGTTCGCAAAATGGGCTCAACCCTTTTTGGGGGTCCAAAAGACCTACGTTGAACGGCAACCCGCAATAAAAACGGAGCAGGTCCTAAGGAACCCGCCTATCTTTATTTGTCGTTGGGCTGGGGAATAGCGTCGAAAGGGACAGGATTTCAAACTGGGAAAGCGCATTGCAATTTGGAACGGGAGGCTTGCCTCGTTTTCTTTGAGTGTTTTCCACGAGGTTCTGCTTCAAGACCCGGACCAGCTAGATGCCGGGCTGGGTTTGGTGGTTTGGGCGACGGGCGGGGAGTCGGGGTGTTGGGGCGGCTTGGCAGGGTCCGCCTGGATTTGTGAAGTTTCCTCGGATGGAACGGCTGAAAAGGGTCTGAGATTTCAAAGGAGGACAGGTGTGTTCCAGGTCGCAGATTCATTCTGCTAGAGTCATGTCAAGGAAACTGGGGCTGGGAAGCGAATGGGAAGGGAGGTATTGCGAAAATCCGAAAGGCATCCACTTAGCCTCTCTTCGACTTTGCCTGCCGGGGAGTCCATTTACGGAAGCTTGGCGTTGCTAGAGGTAAAAGCGCCTTGCTTGTGTCCTTTGGGGGAGAGGTCTACCACTCCTGCACAAATTCGCGTGAACCCTCAAAACGGGATCCAATCCCAGAAAAAGAGCCCTCAAGCAAATAAGGCTTTTGTCGAGTTTTTTGCGTCGTGGATTGTGTCGTTTCCAGCGATTTGCCAGGGCCGGGAGGTGTCGAAGTTCCACTTCATGGTGATGGGGCAGCAGGAGGGCATCTCCGTGAGTTCTTATTTTGCTGAAATCGTGTGGCTTTTTGCTTTGACTGTTGACCTTTTTGAATAGTTGGCAAAATATGGTTTCCCAATGAGCAAACAGTTCAGCGTGGGCCAAAGACCCAACCAGAATTGGTCAGTTGATCTTCAAAACCGAAAGCAAATTGAACGATGGCAACTGACCTGTGGCGGAAGCCGGCAGGACGAAGTGGTCAGGGAGATCACGAATCCGGAAAGCAAGGCCTGCTGAGATCCTGGCCAAACGCACCGAGGGCGGGTAGCGCCATCTCATCATTTTCTTGTTGCGGAGAAAGGACAGACTTCTCTGCTGCATGAAGCTTCAAGGAATTGCTGAACGATATGGTGTTATTTTGTACATAAGCGAAAAATCCCATCATTCAAACGTGAGGTGCAAGGACTAGAGGCTGGATAGACACATCTTGTCCAGGTGAATGACAACAAGGAGGACAAGCTCCGGCCCAATGCAGCCCGAGCCCTTAGGGGGAACCAACTGCCGTACGGTGATGCATTTCTGGGGTAGTTTCTTTGAAACTTGACAGGGCCTCTACGCTTTCCTGAGCCTTGTTTTTCTTCAGTGATCCAGAGTTGGCTTTTGGACCCCTAGTGTCCACTCGCTTAAGTTGCTTTGTCACTCCTTGACTCTTCATTTCAGTGTAACGTGGGTTGGCTGTTGCATTGTCAGGTGGGTTGGTTTCAAGGGAACCTGCGTGCCGCACATGCCCGAGGCGGTGGAGCGGATCTTCGCGGAGAAGGAGCGCCTGGCGGAGAAGAAGGTGCAGGAGGCGTGACACGGCGTGACAAAAGAACCGCCCAAAGGGGGGGGGAGGTTGCGCGCGGGAGGGGGGGGGCAACTAGGGACGCTTGGTGGTGACAAAGTACTGGACTGACCTGAAACCACCCAATCAAACCTGCCATTCCAATCCCACCCGAAGCCGACGATACCCAGCAGCAGCTAACGAGAACCAACCCTAACTCTTTTCTTTGAGTGGCTCACGCCGGCAGCCGCCAATGCGGCCTGATCAGCTTTGCCTAGACCAAAGTTAGATCCCCCTCAACTCGATACAGACAGGCTTCCTTCTTACTTGCTAAAATTAGTTTCTCGCAACCTACAATTACACACCTCCCGTAGTCTATACTTAGCTTCCTGTACGCTCAACTGAGCTTACCTGGGAGTACCTTTAATTAACATCAAGTAGCCGTCTTTCAGAATCGGGGTGGGCATTGGCTTCCTTGCAGAAGGGTCGCACAAGCCATCAGATCCATCAGAATTCCAACTGGGTTCGACAAATAGTTGGGGTTGCCCTCTGGACCACTGTCCAAGATGAGATTCCGAACAAATTTAGATTGACTACCAGAAAACGCGACTGCCATTGTTCGGGCCTTTGCGGGGACAGGCCAACACGTGCCCGTTTGGGTGTGCCGTAAAATAGGGGAGCCCGAAAAGTGGCTGGATTCCTTGTGATTTCCCTGTGAATCAAAGACGCAAATTGTTTCCCCACATTGATCTGCTCTGAGACATGCGTCCTAAGATCACGCCATCCATATGCATTTCATTTTACTGGTGAGCATGTATTTGTCTTTTGCAGGGTGAACCATCTTGAGTGCATTCATTTTCCTTTGAACATGGATTCTCATTCGCTAGCCGGAAAATGCCCTCTGTCTTTCTCGACGATTTCCGGCTTTACCCTTGGGGGATGGCCTGGAACGGGGGTCGCCATCGCAAAGCGAGCCGCTCGAGCGGTGCAGGCGGCTGAGAAGGCGGCAGCAGATCCGGAGGCGGCGGCAGCGGAGGAGGCCAAGGCAGTGGCCGCGGTGCAAAGTCGGCTCGGGGTGGTGGCGTTTTGAAAGTTGTTGCAAGTGTGTGTAGGGGTAATCACTTCCCCCTATTAATAAAGGTCTCCCTAATAAATATTTGTTTCGGAAGTCCCAAATCTGGGAATACTACTTTTAGAATAGCCAATACTAAACCAATTCTAAAGTAGGTATTTTCCTGCCCGTACTCAAATCCAGCCCCATTAGGGGGACCCCGGAAGCACGTTTCCTTTACTACGGTTGTACTACAAAGTTGCGACTTTCGAGCCAGAGCTCCGGGAGCACGTTTCCTTTACTACGGTTGTACTACAAAGTTGTGACTTTCGAGCCAGAGCTCCGGGAGCACGTTTCCTTTACTACGGTTGTACTACAAAGTTGTGACTTTCGAGCCAGAGCTCCGGGAGCACGTTTCCTTTACTACGGTTGTACTACAAAGTTGCGACTTTCGAGCCAGAGCTCCGGGAGCACGTTTCCTTTACTACGGCTGTACTACAAAGTTGCGACTTTCGAGCCAGAGCTTCCGGGAGTACGTTTCCTTTGATACCGGCAGGCTGTGCCAACTAACTAATTAGCTACAAAGGCTGGTAGTCAAAGTCAGAGGGCGCCTCAAACCAAGAGCTCCCCAAAAGCAAAGGGTACATCCGCAAACCATTTTTATTATTAGGGTCCACATTGTCTTTTATTATTGGGGTCTCCAGTAGTAAACGCACACACACGCACACACTCAAGCTACAAAGGCTGGCGGTCAAAGTCAAAGGGCGCCTCAAACCAAAAGCTCCCCAAAAGCAAAGGGTCGCTGCCTGTCTTGCTCTGGCTAGCTGTCTCACTTTCTGAGCCGCACGAGACGGCTACCGTACAGGCGTGCCGTGGATTCAAACGTCTCTCTTTCTCTTTCTCTCTCTCTCTCTCTCTCTCTCTCTCTCTCACTCCAAAAAGGTCCCTTTGAGTGATCCAAAACCCACAACAAAAAACAGCAAAACATGACCTCAACTCCCGCTATTAAAACTCCTTACTCGGAAATGTACGTTTGAAGCGATGTTAGGGACCGGAACAGGGGGAACAGCTGCAGACAAGCCTACGCAGAACAAGAGGTACCTCCAAAACCTGCCTTCCAGATCCAGGGGACCCCTAATAAAAAAAATGTTTTGCTGGCCGGGAATTGTTTTTTTTATTAGGGGGGGGAGGGTCGTTTATTATTAGGGGGAAGGGATTATGTGTTAATGTTTTTGTTTTTTCCGGACTAACTTGGAATGGATGCAGACACGGTTGTCCGGCCTGACGCTGCTCAAGACTTAACCCCCACATCTTGGATCTGTCCCAGCAATTGTTCGATTTGGTTGGTTGGATTCCTTGCTGATTGATTTGGGCATCCTGCATTGATCCACTAATCGGACACTGCTGCCCTGAGCTGCAGGCAGCCAAAGTTGCTTTGGAAGCGGCAGAGCCGAACACCTACCGAACTGAGCTCTGCACAGAGATTCGGTACTCAGCGTTTCTCGGTGTCGCCTCTGAAGGAGCGAGAAGGCCAGTGAGAAGGCCACGACGCACCCTTGATGTTCCAGATATTCACGGTTCTGGTGAACTTTCCAGCTGCGCCACGCCTCGTCGGAATCCTTTGGCGGCGATTCACACCCGGAGCTTGGTTCTGCCTGACGCCAGATGCAGAAGCGTCGTGGTCTCACCGTTCTTCGTCGCATTCTTGTGGGGAGGCCCTCTGAGTTGCTTGCGGAATTGGTTGGCGATGTGTAGGCCGTCGACCCGGGTCACGGTTGAGGCAAAGAGAAGGCTTGCAGCAGCAAAGGCTTCAGTGTTTGGCGAAGATGAGCCGGCCGCGGTCATGACTCAGGTGTGGGTCATCGCCGATCGGTCCGTTCAGACCATGGGGAGCGCACGGCAGGTGACCTCCTGAATGCACCTAAGGGAGACCAAAGACACGGTTACCCAACGAACGGGGTGCAGGTTTTGTCCAGAGGATGAGTGCCGATGAAGCTTCTGACTAAGGCGGAAGCAAGCTCCAACGCCCGGCTTCTAGGGCTTCACCTGGATCGGGCCGGCCATCTTCATTTGAACCTGGGCGACAGCAGAGCTAGAAGACTTCCGGCTACTGAAGCCTCCTGCAGCGTTGCCTGGAGAGAGCGGCGTTCTTCTCGCGAGACAACTCATGTCTCAAAACGGGCGCAGCGCATCCCTGCACGCTCAGCACGCCAGGTGCCATTGCGGCGCCGCGCGTTGCAGAACCATAGAAGCACGCGCAAGGGGCTGCAGCATGCCATGTGTCACTGCTGACCTGCGTGTTGCAGAGCCATACAGTTTCGCTGACTGCTGCTGACGCCTCCTCTCTTTGCGGGACTGTCGCTTGCTCTTCCAGTCTGAGCACTGACTGGCGACCAGAAAAGTCTGTGCTCCGCGGCTGCGCTCCTTGGCAACTTCCAGTTTGGCCAGCCACTGCGCTAGCTGCTTGCCAGCCGCAGATCAGAAGGTGGGAATGGCACACGGCAGCGCCTTCAGAGATGCCCCAACTCCTCCGCCAATCGACGTGGCCACGAGCTAAATTGCCTGGCCCTTCAGAAGCTGTAAGCAAGAACTTGCGGGCAGCCCTCACTGAATGAACGTTTGTTGATATGCTATGTGCATGCTTGGTGCGTGTCGTGTGGTTGGCTTTTGTGTATGTTGTACTTGGTGTATGTCACGTGAAGGCGCCTTTTTTCCCTGCTGGTGTGTGTGTGTGTGCGTTGTCGGCGCCTTTAGCTCTGGTTGTTTTGGTTTAGCTCAGTTCGCTTGCTGGCGTTTGATTGTTTCTCGTTGCGTGTGCGGGGTTACGTTTGAAGCTTCCGCCGTGCGTGCCATCTTTTGGCTATGTGTTGTTTGTTGTTTTCTTTGGGTGTTGGGGTTGATGGGCTTGCACGATTTCTGCAGGAGTCTGGGACGCGTTGCTTGCTTGCTTGCTTGCTGCTGGATTTGGTTGGCGGGTGGCTTTTTCATTCACTTTTTGTTTGTTTGCTGGTTAACACGGTCCACAGGAGGCCATATGTGTGGAGCAGGTGGTCCGTGTGCCAGCGTTGGTCATGTTGGATGCGAGGAGGTTGCCAAAGTTGACTGAGCATCCAGATTGGTGGCGGAATAAATGGGTGTTCCCTGCCAAGAGGTCAAATCGGTCTTACAATGCATGGGTTTGTCTGACACGGATCGTGCAAAAGCTTGCACGAGGCATCAAACGAGTTGCCTCAGGTTTGAGGCGGCATGGAAGGCAAGTGGAGTAAGAGCCACGGGCTTTTGGGCTTGGGTTGTCCTTGTTTTTCTTCCGACACCAACAGCAGCGCATGTTTTGGCCTTGTTCCCTTAGGAGACCCAACTACAGGAACCGTCCACCTTGCGCATCGCGAGGCCAAGGCTGCAGCGGAGGCCAAGCAGAAACTCCAAGAGGCAGTGGTAGGGATCTGGTGACTGAAATGCACCAACGACATGCGAATCGACTCGAAATCTGGTGACGCTATGGCTCTCACAACTCAACAACAGTACCTGAACGACATATCGTGATGGCTTACATCTTAAACAAACAAAATGAAGAACTCAAAGGTCCAAAAGTAAGACCGTCTAAGTCATTTGAACATTTCTCCCGAAGCATGATGTCCACTCGGGGCTTAAAACCCTTCAAACATTCATCAAAGGCGATGCCCAGTTGGTTGGACATGAACCACGGGGAAACTTGATTGATTAGTATGGAGTGGACATTACCGTACAAAGCGTAAAACAGGCAGACCAAGCGGCCAAACCCAAAGCTTCGCTGCACATGTAACAACACCTTTTGATTGCTAATTTGACAAATCTCAGTTTCCTGATGTGAGACAATGAGTGTATGCTCATATACGGGGCGTCAAACATTTTTTGGTTTTCCAAATCAGTTCCCCACTTTCCGGGGTTCCTCTTTTTGAGACCTTTCACCTTTTAATTTTTTACATCTGATCCAAGACAAGCCCAGTTACCACGAAGCAACGCAGGACTCAGGCTGATGAGAGTGGCGTCATGGTTCGGTCATTGCCTCCCTGAACTTCAGACCTCTTTGTGCATGGCATGAAAGGGCAACTCTACAAACCACCAAGGCCTTATTTGCTCAATGCAGCTTTCTGTGACCTGAATGCAGATGCGTTTTGGCACTTTTGCCTCCCTCCAGGCCCAAGAGCGCAGGAAGTTCAACGAACGCGAGGGGCCCTGGGCCCCGCCGGCCTGGTGGCGGATGCAGTTGGCCCAGCCAAGAGATGCGGGACTGTTTCTCTTCCAGCTCATTGTTACTCTGAAACCATCTGGTGAGTTCCAAGGCAATTCGTTCCTTGCGCAAGGACTATATACTCTTTGCTAGGATTGTGGCGGATTGGCCAATCCTCTGGACTCGGGTGGGAGAGGCAACCCCGTCTCCCGCCCGCCCCCCCAACCCCCCCGCTCGCACGCAGTCGTCGAACAAGGGGCCAGATCCAGTTTGACCTGCGCAAATGGCATCCATCTTCAGGGGAATGCAAGGCATGCAAAAAGCAAACGCCTCGGATCGAGTATGCCTGCATGTGGAATCCTGATGACACAAGATCTTTTCGAGAGAGTGTCGTGAAAGGTATGGGCCACGTGCTATCATATGTGCGACCTCGTATTGTAACTTTGGGACTTCGGCTGGGAAGTCTTGACGGGAAGTCTCAGCCGTTCACCGTGTGCCTCAACATGGACAAGCCGGCAGCCGCAACGGTGACGCCATGGAAGGCGCGGCGCAGACTGCGCGGCACGCCTGGGGTAACTTCAAGGAGACGCAGGGAGGGCGGGCATCATGGCGAAGGAACGGGAGTTTGCGAAAAGGGGTACCACTGCAAATTGACGATGATTTCTTCTTGTTGTCCGTAGAGACCATCTAAAAGAGGACCTCCTCGAATGATGTCCTGGCAGTGAAATGGGTAAAGCATACATTCGCAACAAGTTGACTCTGTTTTACTGGCCGAAATTGAAATTATGGCCCGCCACAGCGGGTCGCAAAACAGGGCTACATACTGGAGGTACGGCTGATCCCCACATTGCAAGCAAACCAACCACAAACCATGGTACATTACCAGGTTTTCCCTATCCCAGCTACGAGTCGGTTGAAACGTAGGACTACTACGAGATCCGGAACTGTGGGGGAGAGGACCCCCGGCTGCAGTGGCTGCAAGAGATCGTGGATTGGAGAGGCACCGCCGCGGGATTGAACCTTGGATGGTCTGAGAGGGATTGCGAAGTGGATACCCCAGCCCCCGGATAGAACCCCGGACAGCCTGATTCGCCCCTAATCCCGGTGTTGTCCAAACAAGTTGGAGCCCTTCACAGGGGCTCGAAGCGTGCAGGCAAGCGGATCCTGGACCTGGGCTGCAACTCGGGGCACCTGACCCGGGCGCTTGCAGGGAGCTGTCGCTCCGCCCTGGGGGCGGCTTGGCGTCCAAAGGCGTCGGAAGATGTCGGCAGGTGTCGAAAGCGGAGGCGCAATGTTTTTTAGTGGGATTCTCATTTGAGCTGTAGTTTAGAGGGAAAAACCTGGCAGTGCTGGAAACCAATCATCGAGCTTTCATCGAATTTGATTCCTCAGGAGTCCAGCGATTCTTTTTTGCGGGATCTTTTTTGTTTTTTGGACGATGGCGAGGGTCAACAAAGACCAAGTCGTCGATCATCGTTGGAAAAGGACCCCTTCTGGATGATGTTGATGTTTGGAAGCCAAGGAGAAAAGCCATTTTTGGCGGCCAGAATGGTATGTCAGAGAACATAGTCAAGTCCTCCAGAGAACATTGGTAAATTCCCCCAACCGATACACGAGCCTGCGATTCTTGGGCTTGATCAACTGCTTGCCTCTTGGGCTTGTGTTGCTTCGAGCTTTGTTCGGCTTGCTTTTTGCTTTATATTTTACAAAATGGGCGTCGCCCGAAAACTGATGGATTTCTTTTTGGTTTCCAAACAACATCCAAAAGGGAGGCCATTTGCAATTAGGACACCCTCAATTGGCTTGATGTTCGGAGGGGATGTCCAAATCCAAATTTGGCCAGAATGACTCTTTCAACAACAAATTGAACCCCGTCACAAAACCAGGCTAAGTCCTTTTGTTTTGACACATGCTCTACACGACCGTTCAAGAGCATTTGGTCAGGTCTCAAAAGGAGGAATCAACCCCATCCGAGTGGATTCCTCGCTTCCTTTTTGCACGATGCAAGAGAGCTTCCGGCCATTTTGAGAGAGTGCCTACCTGGGCTAGCGGGGTGCATTTCGTCACTCCCGTCTTTAGAGATGGTTTTGGCTGCGCAGCTTGTTGTTTGGGCATGCTGTAAATGCGGTAGACGCCATGGGCTGGCTCCCCGAACTCCCGATTTCTTGAGGTTTCTTAGTATTTGGTCGGACTTCAAAGAACAATTGTCATCTGCGGTTGTCGCTCCCAGGTCATTGAGGCTTGCCATTTTTTGTTGGAGGGCTTCAGAGAGTGTCATGCTGGGGTTCCAAAGAAAAGAGCATGCGGTTGATGTGCCGGCTTTGCTCAAACAACAGCCCCTTTTTTCTCGCCCACCCCTGCCCCCCTTCAGTGGATGTGTGAGTGGACCGCACATGAACAATGGAGTATTGTAACCTGCCCATGAAATGTTTGATGATTGGAACTCGCACTGCTTGCGACTTGCCGACGTCGAAGTTTGGGTGTTTAAAATCAGCCATCGCTGCATTTGCCACGCCTTGTTTGGCAAAGAAACAGTGAAGGGGAGGTTTACTCTGATTTGCCTACATATGGCAAGGAATGAACAAGCAACAGAAGCGGTGGTAGGTGTACTGGCTTTACATGAAGGGAGTTGACCGTATCTCAGGGGTTGGCACTCAAAAAGGCCCCAGCCCATCCAAAGCGCATCGACCTTTTGATTGTTACGAGTGACTTTGGAAATGCGCTGCCACCTGGGCGGAAATGAACCAATAGAACTCTACCCCGATCTGGTGGGCGGATGCAGATGGATTCCCCAAACATTTCAAGCGAACTTACCACAGACATGGACATCGCAGTGTCAAAACTTGGGACCCTTTAAGCTTTGAATTTAAATGATCTGAGTTCCATGTGTGCCAGAAGGCATCCATCTCATCCGCTTGCCCCACTTGCAACCAAATGGACCGACCTGGATGCTATGCTCAGGTGGACATCGACCCCGAGCTGGTCGCCCGGGCGAAGGAAGACTGCGAGGATGCCAGGCAGAGGGGCGGAGGGATTGTCGGTTCCACAGAACTCATTCCGTGGCTACATGGCGCAGGACCTGGTATCAAGCCTACCACAGCATTCTTAGCTGGAAGCTATCTTGCCTTGGCGCTGTTTCAGTGCACAGTGCCCAGGCATGGCAGATACGACTTTGCTCTCCATATCCTTCTTGGCCTCAGTGAAACAGATAATTGTTTGAATTTGACTTGGATATCATTGCGAGCTCACTTTGGGGGCAAATTCAGCTCAGCTCCATGTTATGGACGGAAATGCATCCGCTTCCCTTTGTCACTCGGTCGGAATGCAGCAGGATGCGGTTCCTGTGCCGGGACATGCTGCAACTGGAGCTACCCGCGGCGGCCTTTGACGCGGTGCTGCTGCTGAGCACCTCCAAGTGGGTGCACTTGCAGCACCTCGGAGTGATGTCACCGGACGGTTTCTCCGGGAGTTTGTGAACTATTGGGCCACCCGTGGCGTTACAAGGCCAAATCAAATCGAGCTTCCTTTCAGTGGGATGATGGGGAAATAAGGAGAGGCGTCATGGGGCCTTGTCTTTTTGGAGCGGGCTGCAGTTCCATTTATGATAGACCTGCTTGAAGGGGCATTCTGTAGGCTTCTTGCGGGTTCCTAGTAGCTTTCCTTGTGGAAACCCTGATTTCTCTGGGCAGTTCCTTGCAGTGTCCTTGTGCCGGTTCCTCATCGACGAGCCTCCAATAGGGAGCATTCGTTTTTTTGCTTCGGAGTACAGCTGGTGCGACCACAGAACCTGGTGTCAGTTTTTTCGCTGGACTCTTCGCTGCCAATGCAAGCAACAATGTGCAAATGGACATTCCTATCAACTTTGCCATTTTTGCCAACGTTGTGGTGGAGAGTTACTTGAAGGTAAGCATGTCACTGCTGCTTTTCTTGGAGGTGAGAAGTGTTTCTCTCGGAGCTATTGTTCACGCTAGGCATGGCGATGGCGGCCTGCAGGATGTCCGGGCAGACAAATCGGGCATATCGGCAGTGACACCTCGACTCATCTCGTGGCGTGGATGCGGTGTTCCCCGCTTGAGCCGTTGCCCAGAGTTCGTTGTCATGCACGCTTTGGTTGGTCCTTTGTTCCAGGTAACACCAAAAGGGAAGCCGCTGCGCCTTGCTTGGATTTGGGCACCGTAGGGTCCTTGCGACCACCAGGATCCCTGCCGGCATTTCGCCTTTCGAGTTGGGAAGCTCAGAGCTCAAAGAAGTTCTCATCTTGCACGCGCGTCAATTTTACTGCGTTTGGTGATTGGATCCCAACTTTTCATCTCACAGAGGATGCTTTGACTTCACCCGGCCACGGTTCTCCTCAGCTCCTCACCCCCGTAGGTTGTTTAGCATCTTCCATAGAGAGTTACAAGCGACACATTGACTGACTGCACACATTCACCGCGGCTCATTTCTCCAACGGCACCTGCGTGTGCGGCGGTTTGATCAGCCATCAGGAGCTCTTCCGGCGGATCAGGAGATGGCTCGTGCCGGGCGGGGTCTTTGTGCTGGAGCCGCAGCCCTGGAAGCCCGGACTTAGTTTCAGGGGTAGAGCCATTGCAGATTCTGCTCCTTCCAACAAAAAGAAGCCCATCAACTGAAAAACTCCTTGCCGGGGACCCTCTGGGACTAGGCACCAAAAGAAGTGAGATTCTCCAAAAGGAGGCATGCCAATCTTTTGTGCCAGTAGCACCTTCGGACCAAAGCCCGAAGCTGAGGTTTGGAGGGTTGACCTCTGAGGTTTGGGATTTTGAGTTTGGAGGGTGATGGATCTGTCAAAAACATCCAGTAGTCTATGGTAAATTTGGGAGGAGCCATTTGGGAGTTGGGGGAGGAGCCATATGGGTCTGTCTTTTTCTCAGGGTCTCTCTATTGGAGGCTTTTAAAGAGAAAGCAGAAGGTCGCCTACCATTCTGGGATCCCCCGACACACCCATACGTTAGAGAAGCCGCATATATTGACTTTCTTTTGAAGGTGTTTTTCTTTTCCCCCCAAAGGGCTTCTGACCTTTGAACCACAGCCATGTGGTCCCTCCGCTTTTTATGTTGGGTCGCCAGTTGCAGGTTTTGCACTGCATTTTTGAATGGTTTTCGGATGACAGACGCCACCATGGTTGTTGGAATCGTCTTTCAGGTCGTGAAATAGACATGGCTCACATATCACGGAGAGGCTTATCAAAACATCGCACCGGTGCACACTAGGACACCAAGCCCTGCAAAGGCCCCTTGAGGTTCGGGTTGGAAAAGGGAGAACCGAACAGAATCTTGCCATCAATGTGGGTCCTCAACTTTGGGACATCCTTTTGAATAATTCTCAAAGAAAAGGACAACCGCAATGGCACATATTTCTGAATGTATCACTTCCTATAGGACACGCCCATTTGTTCGGGCACCCCATCACTTTTTGTAGCTCCTCAAAATTCGAAGTGAGTGGCCGAAGCTCAGGAAGGCCTACAAGAAGGCGAGCACAAGGGGGCAGGGGCAGTTGGCTGGGTTTCCTTGCTCAGGCACAGGCCCTTTTCCCTCTTCCTACTCCTACCCAGTTCATTCACAGAAACCGAATCGAATGCGTGACACTACACCGTAGTTATTTGTTTTGCTATGGGTAAGATCCAGACAAAACCTTGCTTTGCTGGACCATGTTGGGTTTTCCAAGGTTTTCGAGTGATTTCCAGCAGGAAGAGTTGGCCATTATAGCAACATCAACCTGAAACCAGCTAGGGTCCCAAAGTCAGCGGATATCCAGATGTTAAATTCTTAGGTTTTCAGCTTACCTAATGATATACTGTATTCCTTGGGTTGTCCCCTCAAAAACAAACATTTACATTCACCCTTGTCTGAAGAACTATTTTAGCGATTTGATCCGAGTTCCATCATCTGTCAGAGGTCCGAGCTACAAACCTCCAAGTGTTGAATATCCCGATTTTGAAGTCGGGGACTCGATTTTGGAAGGTGTTAGGATGGATCCAAAAGGGAACCAGCCGTTGTTGGGGCCGAACTGATTCCGGCCACACTCCACGTTGGATATTGCATTGGATTGTTTTTGTTGCTGCCTCACTTGAAAACTTGCCCACAACCATCAAAATGACATGCAAGCTCGCTTTTGCAGAAACAGCAGTTTGCCAAGACCCCAAGTCCAGCTGGCAGGCGCCGTGTGCTCTTTGGTCTTAAAGTGGCCTCACCAGATTTCACAAGGAAGCAGTTTCCTCGATTCGCTCGGAAGCCTAATCTACTGCAGGATTCGAAGCAGGGCTCGCAAGTTGGATGGCCTCTCAGGTGGCAGATGCGCATGAGGACGTGGAGAGGGTTTGGCAGCGGATCCAAATGCGGCCGACCGACTTTGTGACCTTCCTCCAGGAGGCACCTTGGTTTCGCCAGGTTCGGTTTTGGCACTTCTGAGTAGGTCTTCCCCTGAGTTGTGTTTTGGGGGGTTCTTTCCAGAATGGGCGCCTTGCTTTTGGTTTCGTGTAAACATGACCCAACAATGGCGCCTCAGTAACTCCAATAATTAACCGCAGGGCTCCCGACGTTTCTTCTTGTGTTTATTTTGCGCATCACCTTTTATTGGCCAATCCAAAGGGAGTTCCTCTAGGTGGGGTTGCTTGAAAGGGGAACTATACGGAACCCTATACTGATCCCCTGGGTGTCCTGAAAGTGAGCAGCTCCTTTCGGATCGTGTCTCAATAGTTTGCACACGCAGTCAATTTATATCCCTGTGTCGGTTCGCTTGCAGTATTTGGAGAATCCGGCCAAGCTATTTTGACTCTGCACCTTCCAGCTAGAGGAGGCTATTTTCTTAGATGTGGGGGTCCAACTGCTTGTTAAACAACCATTTTGTCACTGGTGGTTGCCTATATGCCTGATCTTAGCCATTGTGGCTTGCTTTTGTTCCTCTTGCTTCAAGGAAAATCATGCTGTGCACCAGGGTACATGCCCCCAAATGCATCCAGATATGCTCCGGTACAGTTTTTGCCCTACAGAGCAAGCCACAATGATGTGGCACGCTTTTCATGCTCACGTTTTTATTGTTTTATTCAATTAACTCTTCGCGGAACAATCATTTGTTTGTTTGTTTGTTTGTTTGTTTGTTTGTTTGTGACAATCAACCATTTGTGCTGGCCTGAGCCATGGGCGCAAACCCTCTCACATGCTTTTGTTGGGTGCCCGTTTGACCACAGACTCTGCTCACCTACCGGCAGCGCTACAGCACTATGAATTTCCGTTCGCCGGCCACTGCTTGCTGACAGCCCTGATCAGAATGGCCACGCCTACCTTCAGTGGGCCGCAACTGCAGGAGGTCAGCCGCTGTTGGTTAGATTGGGCCATGGCTGCCTGTTCGATGCTGTGCAAATATCCACCACGCTTCCATTCATTTCTCTTTGAGAGCCAACAATTCTTCACGGTCCTTTGCACGTCAGCCCCATATCCGGCACTTTCCGCATCTTTCCATCTGGGAGCCGAGGTGGGCTTTGAGGCGAACTACCGCTGGGTGTCGGTGCTGCATGCGCAGGACTCCTTTCGCCGCACCTTGTACTTTCTTTGGCGCCCTGGCGAGTGAGTGAGCAGACACGGGTGGTGGCTTTGGGCGAAGGGAGAGAGAGAGCTGATACTTGTGAGCTGAGCTGGGGATGGTGAGCCAAAGCATTCAGGAAGTTGAAGGTTGGGGCCAGGCATTGGTTGTGGCTTGGGCGAGGCGAACATGGCGCGAGAGCGGGAGCCCTGCCAATCCATTGACCTGGCAGCCAGCTACCAATGATCGAGGTATCAACCAGGACCCCTGGGGTTCCAGAGAATCCTGCGCTACAGTACTACCGGGTTCTGCGAGAAAAAAGCAAAAAACACCTCCCAAATCCACTTTGACACAGGCGCCAACCCTCCAACTCCAAAGTTGGACGCGCCTTGGTCAACGAAGCCTGTGGAACAACAACTCCCATTTTGGCTTTAGATGTCACGGCGCTCCTTGACCACATTGAAGTTGGGGTCAGGGGGTGCGTGGGGAAGATAGTTGGGCGAGGAGAGAGCAGATGGGCTTTTTTCTTTTTGCAGAACCCAGTACGTACAGACATGGATCCTTGACTGGCAGAATTTCCCCTGTCCCCCCTTCTACTTTTCTGCATGGGAAGAGACCAATTTTTCTAGATTCACAGGGACGAAGTCTGCAACAACACAGAGGGCCCTTGCTTGGCAGATGGAGAAGGAAAAGTGAATATTTTTTTAATGCTGAGGGCGGGTGTGCCGGGGAGGTGTATGATCTTCCTAGAGATATGAGAAGCCTTACAAATGAGTTTCCTTGACAAGAATCCGGGCCATTTCTGAAAATTGAACAGGTCTTCCCCAAAAGTCATTCGCAGAGGCCTCTTCTTGTGGGGACCTCTTTTCAGGTTTCTTCCGAGTCTGCAGGTGACCTTATGTATCTGACACATTCAAGCTTGCACGCTTGTGTGAGCACATTCACTGCCGAGGAAACTGAAGAGGCAATGTAGGAGAAGGAGTCCTGTCCTCAGTTCTCTGCTTTGGCGCACGGCAGAGGTTTCCGGTGGTGAGTCGGTGAGGCAACATTCCCTTTGAAGGATTGTCCCTGGCGAGGCCAAAGCTATTTTCTGTCAATCCTTGTCTCAGAAGGTAGCATTGGCTCTGGTTGGCTGCTTTGTCGTGGCAAGAAGGGTTTGCCTTTGGAAACCTTCTTTAAGGAAGCAATTCGGCTTCAAGAAGGAACCAACTCTTGTAGGCGGTCTGTTTTCCCACAAAAAACGAGGCCAAACAGCATTTGGAATCCGTTGCAAGCAAAAATTGAGCGAGCCATGTTCATTCATCATGAATTCATATACTTTTCTGATGTTCCCCCATCAAGGGACATGACAACGTTCCCGCGGTCCACGTCCGAAACGTTGGTACCTAGTTGAAAGCAAAACATGTTGGGAAACTCCCTGTCATTATTTCCCTTGATACGACCCCCCCACTGATCGAGTGTCATTCGGAGACGTTGCCCTTCTCCATCGTGCAGCTGACGCAGCGACGCCCCAGCGAGTTGCGATTCCGAGGCCTGCGCAGGGGGTGGAGGAAGAGATTCTGGAGGCAGGCGGCTCGATCCCTTGATCCCCTCGCGGAGCATGGCCACCCCCGGAACGCTTAAGCAATGGCGCATGCGAGAGGTTTATGCCGGTGGGCTTTGCCGGAGCTCAGTGGTTGGGATGGCCATCAGTTTGCTCGGACTTGCTCCAAGCAAGTAGACAAAACAAACACATGTTTTTGTGGTTTCACGGTCTTGTCATGAACCATTTTTGAGATAGCAGCAAGTGCTAGAAGATTCCTATTGGCCTTTCATTTCCCGTACAATGAATTTTACCATGGCATGGGAACGCGGTGTTTTACCTTTGATTCACATGACAGTGGCAGGATTTTGCATCGACTGCTTTTTCTCAGGTTATTCAAAGTGGTGTGCATGAGATTTGCTGCCTTCAAAGATAACCTTGAACAATCTCTTGTTTGCCTCCCAACCAGTGCTGCAATACAGTATTTCTCTCGAAGGACGCCGTTTGGTTGCAACACTTTTGGGAGGGTACTCTTCCTTGACTGGAAGGAAACGCTTTTGACCCCCAGGCTATCCCGATCGCGGAAAGGCCCGCAGACGAGCGGAAAAAGCAAGGCACTGCCTGCGCGGGCTGAGGGCTCCCCCAGCCAACTCTTTTTGCAAGTGGGCATCCTCATTTCCCACAATGTGCGGAACTTTAATGACGATGTTTGAGAAGGTCGCGCTGACGGGTTTTCAGCTTAAATGGTGCTTGCTGTATGGGTGGGAGATGACATGGAACAGACTCACATGCATCTTGATGGCCTCCTTGAACCTTCTAGCTTCTTGGAAATGCTTCCCCTCCTGGCTCTGCTTTCTTGGGCGTGTCTGAGGCTACACCTCCAACGAGGTGGGGGCGTCCTTCACCTCTACTGCCGTGCCGGTGAAGTCGGGACGCCCAGATGCATAGACCACGTGGTGAACATTTGGAGTCTTATGGACCATCGTTTGGGTGCGTAACGTGATGGGTTTCTTTTGGCTGACCCCCTTCGTTGAGCATGCTAAGACCACGGCGATAGTATTCAAAAGGTCAGCAACATGAGCCAAAATGGCCAACGTCCATTTTGGCTCAGGCACGTCGTTGACCCTCCCAGTTGGGAACTGAACCTTGTAGGGGCACTCTGCCAAAAGGGTCCTGCCAGTTCCAGCCTGCTTGAAACTTCTTTTTTTTTGCGATACGGTTTCGGGACCTAGCAAAGTCGACCAAAACCCACGGGTACCCACATAGACCCCCAAACTACACCGAATTGCAGCGTTGGGCTGTTCGCTCAACCCTTCCCTCAGGACACGAAATGTGTCCCCTTTGCAGTGGCTTACTGTTGGACATGATGGAACATCGGATTGGCCAGCTTCTCTATTCTTGAACTGCCCGGCAGATTCCACTCTTTTCCACACCTTTTTCCAGTTTGGTTCCTGTTGGCATGTCTGAATCGGCTGGGCGGTCCGTCACACGGAGTTTCTGAGGTCCAACAACCAGTTGCGGAAGCTCACGGAGGAGGAGGAGCTGCAGGACGGCGAGTCGGGAGCAATTGACGGGCAAATCGGTTTCTCTTTTGAAGAGAGGACTACGGTTACCACTGCTTCCGCTGTTTGGGCAGGTGGAACAGATCTTGCCAAACTGATCTGTTTGGGCTCCATTTTGGTGTCTTGGTTTTGTGTTCCCGTGGCCGTCGGGCCGTCGGGCGGGAGCTGCGGCCATGGGGAGATCAGCAATTTATGAGCACCGTCCAGATGATGAGGGTGTGTGTGTGTGTGTGTGTGGCCCCCCTGTTTCTAAGGGGTTCCGCGGCTGTGTCTAGTTTTGGAGTCGGGTGCCACCATGCGGATTGCTGATTCAAAAGTACCTCGAGAGTGGCGATGGCACCCCTGATGAGGACGCCTCTCACGAGCGAAATTGTTTCAGGATAAGCATGCCGAAACTCCAACCTGATTCCGTGCTTGCGTCCTCCTACGTTTCGGGGTGCACATTCGCAGTTTGCCGTCTCATATCAAGTGTGTTTAGGCACTGCGCCCGGGCTTCGGTCAGTGTCTTGATCCCCTTTGCAGGCACCTGTTATGACCCATGTATCGACACCTTCTTCAGACAACCACCGGACCTTGTCGCTCGCGACTCTGGACTTTTTCCATAGACCCTTTGCCACAGGCTTGGACATGTCCCGGACGTTTCAGATTATTTCATGGTTGACTTTCCCAGTTGACCTACTGCCAGACTACCTGACACATCAGGCATGAATCCATGACGCCGTCAGTTTGCTCTTGGCTCGCAATTGGAGGCAACAGATGCCACGGCCCAACGCAGGTCCGATGTCGAACTCAGCAGGCCCCCATGACCAAGGCATCCAGGAACACTGCGGGTCCTACGCCACCCAGATCACCAGTGAGCCAGACAGCATCACCGAGCAGGAGTGCACTTGTGACACCGACCTCCAGCATCTCTGGCACGTTGTCTAGTACCTCAAGGGCTACCAAGCCTTCGGTTCACGCCTCGGCGTCGATCCCTGCTCCCCCTACCTGGCCTGCATCCGTTGCTGGCCCACTGCCGCAAATCCTGGTGAAGGCGCGCCCAGCAACCCCGATGACTCCAATGACCCCAATGACACCGACTACCCCAACGGCTCCAGCTACAGCATGTCCATCCCAGACCACCGCACCGACCCCTATCGCACCGACCCCTACGGCAACTCCATCAGGTCAGATGCTACCACCGACCAACCCACCGGCAAGATCACGCCACGCAACGGAGGGAGAACGGTCACGTTCCCTTAACGCATCCCCCTACTCCAAGTCAGTGCCTCCACAGCGTCGCAGTCGAGCTCTCTCCAGGACGCCACCACCGATCTCCCGAAGGGACGCAAAATCGGATAATTCAACCACGGCAGCACCGGCTCTCGCCGCTTCAGCGCCCACAGCAGCTAAATCCTCATCCTCATCCCGAGTGCCTACGGCAGCTAAAGCTTCATCCCGGCGGCCGAGAAGCAACAGATCTCCACTTCCGCGCAGCAGAAGCAGTGCCCCATCGGCTCCAGCCTCAAAGGCCACCGGTGCTCATCCAGTCACGGAGTCATCCTCGAGAAGCATGCAGCTACGTCCCAATCCGCAGGCGCACCCACCGCTGATCCTGCTTCCCAACCCGGAGTCCGACCCGTGGAGGAACGAACTTCAGGTGCTCGCCTCGCCGTACGTCCGCGACGGGATCCCGGTTAATCAGGAGCAGATGGACTATGTGGCCGCTACTCTAAATGCAGCAGGAATACCATCTCAGCACTCCACCCTGAACTATGCCAAGGTCAACCCGGAACATCGCTACTCCAAGATTACTCCACACTGGTTCATGCTGACCATCCCCTACCTTGGCGCCACACAGTTCGGCTCAAGGAACCAACGAAGACGCGGCCCATGCTGCTCTGGACCCACGCATCCAGTGTCGGCGGCACCAGAGGCATACTACGAAGCCGGCAGACACATCCTTCCCGGCAGCACTCCTCGGAGTGCCCAGCCTTTTACGCCCAAGGCTGGAAGATCACTGGACACGCCGGCTACGATGCTGAAGAAATTGCCCGCACGATGAGCCAGAATTGGAGCATGTCTTTCAACATGGCCCAACTGCTGCTGTTTGGGCGCGCTGTCGGTACCTGTCAGCCGATTCGTTCAGGAGGAGAGCAAGCTTGCGTTGAGGCCTTGGATTCCAGTGAACATCCTGACGTCATCCACTATGTGTCCGGCAAGTGTTGGATGGTGATTCCAGAAGCAAGCCAGATCGTTGGACTCGCATGGCCTACCGACGCGAAACCGCCCACAGGTGTCCTCCGCTCGCGAACCTGCACCAAGAGCTGCTGCGCCCGATGACAATTAATGATGTTTCATTGCAAATAAGAGCATTCTTCGCCACACTGCCGTCTTCGACCGCCGACGATATTTTGCGACAAAAAGTGCACGCTAGGGCCTTATGACTCAAGCACGACTTTATTTTGTCGGTCTTCTTGAGGTTTTCATTTGCATTATGCTGACCTGCTGTGATGCTCGCTGTTTCTCGTTTACATTAATGGCTCTGGCCTTGGTTGCAAACCTTTTGTTGTTTCGACAATTCGTGCCGTGTGCCTAGCGTTTAATCAATCAATCAGCAAGTGTCGAAGATGAACCCCCATCCCGTGATGGCTTCTCAGTGGACCTATTCGTGGCCGGCAACGTCGGCACCCTCCTCCTCGCAGCCGGGGTCCTCGTACCTTCCATCATGGTCAGTACCGCAGTCTCAGCAGGAAGCCTATTCGAGCTCCAATCGGATGCAGCACCAACCTCGAGATGAAGCAGCACCCCGAGTCAATCCTCCTCGGCCTCCACATATGGCTCACCAATTCCCTCCTCAGCCTCCTGGTCAGTTCTACAACTATCATGGCGGTGGCACAACCCACATGCAGACAGGTCCTCGGCCCCCACCACCAGCACCACCAGTTCAACTTCAGGCCCGTGCAACGCAGTACACTCAGCCTCGATATTCGCAGCTACTCCCTAGCACCTTTCAATCTGATGACATCTTCCTCGACAAGACGGAAGTTCGCGGCCTGCAACTATACCGTCACATTCAACCCACTCAGTGGTCCAGAAGAGTCGGGCTCGCAGGAACAGCAATCTTAGATCTCCCACTGACGCGTCTTCTTCGAGGAGGAGCAGAAGATCACGCACTCCGAGCGCTGTCGAACGGGCGATACAGTACACCGGTAATGGCTCAGACAATAGCCGAGGCGGTGTTATTGACATCAATTCACAAAGCCTTGCGAGGCAGGGAGGTCGACATCGACCGGACGGCCCGCTCCCTCCACGCGGACAATGCGCCGGACAAGCGCAACGAGGCTATGCAGTTTATGGAGCCGCTTGCGCTCAAAATCGTGGATCTCATATAGAGTCGCTGCAGCCCGCCAAGCAGGAGAACCTCACTCGCCACAAAATTGCCGAATTGGAACAACAGCTTGAACGCTACAAGAACAAAGGCATCACTCTCACACCGGACAAGAAGCAGCCATCCTCGTCTCCTTCCAATACCATGGACTCCCACACCTGGCCGCTCTGACCAGTCCCTCTACATCAACGCGGCGATGTCGGATGCTCAGGGACCTCCCCTACCAGTTCCATCTCCGGAGGCTGATCCAGCTCCCAAAAGACGGCCGGCAAAGCGCAAGACCCCGGAGGTTGCCCCGGACATCACACTAGATCCAGAACTTCTACGTCAGGGCAATTTCAAGGGCGAACAGGTACCACTTCCCGCCAGCCTCACGGACAAAGTCTTCAAAGCGTGGTTGCACGAACGCACGCTGTCCAACCAAGCGACTTACCTCGATCTCATCAAGCAGGAGCTAGCGTCGGACACGGTGGAGCAGCTGAAAACCATTGCAGTCAAGTGGGGCGCCACCATCTCCCTGGTGAGCAAAGGATCGAAGCGAGCACTCCTACAGTTCATCACGGTTTTGTACATGTATGGAAAGTGAGAGGCGAGATTGTAGCTCTCACGATGCAGGACGTGAGCACGCTGTGAAACGACTGGCACAAAAGGCCCTGCTGCTCGGTGCGCTTGAACCTTGCCCTGAGACCATCAGTTGGCGTTTCTCTTTCCCTTTTCGTTTTCCTGTTCCTTTTCCCTTTTAGGATCCTGGGGTTGTGAGCCGGTGTCGTTCAAAGTTGATCCACTTAACAGTTCAGTGCTCGAGCATGTGATGCATGGCTAAGCCATGCCGGTCATTCAATCTCCGGAGACGGTGTTTCTTTTGTAGCTCTACGGCCAGTATGAACGGTCAGAACTATGCGGTGCTGCCAGACACTATGGTATTCCTGAGCCCATGTGGCCAGTCAGCCTGCAGCACGGCACCGACTATTTCCTTCCCTACATCACGGCGCTCATTGCACTAAGACTCGGCGATTCACTCGACGTCCACGCATCCTATCAATATTATCAGGTCCTCTATCTGATCATCATCACAAGTCGCAGAATCCTCAACATGCCGATGGTCAATATGCAACTATCTATGTGGGCCGAGTCCCTGTCCACGCTGCTCATGGTTCATCACTACGGTCGTCCCACGCATGCACTTACAGAACTCAGGCGCCGACTACGACGTTTACGCATCCACCCGAACATGTACACCTTCACCCACTTCTCGCAGCCCAATGCGGTGTACTGGAAGCAGCGAGTCGAACTCCGCCCGGACCTTCCACGCTCCGTCAACCCGCAGTCTGATGTATACATTGGCAGCGCCAGCATCACTTATCCCAGTCGAGAACACAATCGTAGAGCCAAGTTGCTGGGTATTCAACACGGACAATTTATCAATGCGGAATCAGCACTCAGATGGTGGCATCACTTTGACAACTATGACGAGTTTGCTACTTGGGTTATCCTGACAGACCCCGACCACAAGGTCACCTGGACTCAGGAACATGCCTTGATCTGCATCTATCAGCCGTCGCTTAATTGGCCCTACATTCATCGGCGATACAAGCGCATCTCCACCGGCTACACGGCCACCAGGTTTCTTGCAGAACAACCCTGGTCCAGGTTCGGCAAACGCCTTTTCCTCCGGTTGCGCAGAAGGAGTTGCACAGTCTATGGCAGGAACTTCCATCGAGCGGCGCTCAAACACACTCAAGCCTGGTCCATCATCGCCCGCCTCACCTCGGAGCACATTGAATCCTGGGAAGAAGAAAAACGACTCCGTAGTGGACGGCGCTCGGACTTGGACATCTATGCCATCTACAGGTTGTCTGGTAATGTGGAACAGCCTCATCGGCATCGAGTTCGTAACATTCTCCGACGAGTTCTTGATTTCCGTCAACTTCAGCAACCCAGGATCAATTTGTTATTGCGATTACCGTGGCTGTCCCACCCACATTATCAACGGACCACCCGAGAAGTTCTTCGTCGTCTCGTCATCGACCACCGCAACTGGGCCCTTCCATTCCACTTACCCAGTACGAAGCTGGCCGAGACTCCTCATCCTCGAGTCCACACAGTCATGTGGAACTTCTCGTCATTTCAGGACTGCTACCCCTTGACATCCCCAGGGCCATCATCGTGCCAATGCGAAGCCTGGCGAAAACGTCAGCCCTGGCTATCCCATGTTCAAGGTCATGTGGCAGCGGGATTAGATGAGTTCCGGTTTCCCGGAACCCCCCATCACGTTCACTACACTTCAGCACTGGCGTCGTATTATGTGGACTTCGAGGTCTACGAAGTGCAAGTTCATGAACGCTTACGGAAATGGTGCTTGCATCACGGACTCCCCCTGGACCAGTTCCACGCACCTCTCATGGAGCACCTACGCAGTCAATTCAAGCAACATCGGCAGCACGCATCCACCCATCAGCTCCTTACCAAGCATCAACTCAACATCCTGCATCGACACCTCGGCCGGGACTTTGTATGCCACAACGAGGATCACAACAACCACCACCTCATGTTCTTCTGCCCTCAACTCTACTTCAAAGGCCTCCACAACACCTGGCTTCAGTCCGGCACCTTTGCAGCTACTCCACTGAAGCCCGATCAAGCCGGGGCCCTTATTCTTGAAGCCATTCCGCGGCACCTGCAGAAGCGGTACAAATGGGCGTACAGGAAGAAGACCACCTCCATCCCGGTTGGAAAAGTTTTTCTCAAGCGCAAGAAGCAATGGAAGTCGGGGCGGACCGTTATAGCCTACCATAAGGTGGTACATCGGCAGCTCTTCAAAGCAGTCGCAATCCTTCTTGGCGAGATCGCAGCCGACACATGGAAATGTTCATGGGGGATACACCCCACACCGAGGATATGGCAGAACATCAAACAGTATTTCGACAACACAGACGATACAGTCACCCTTGCCTTCCACAATGACGATTTGGTCGGATTCTTCAATAGTGTCCCTCAGGATCAAGTGTGTGCAGCAGTCGAGCAGCTATTAGCCGAGCACCAGCGAGGGCGACCCGGTCTCGTGTATTCAGTGGAAACCCAGGCAGCTGTCCACTCCACTACAATCGAGTGTTTGCGGGCAAGCAATCCTACGGACGTACGCCGACCACGCGTGTCATTTACATGGAGGACATCCTGGGTATCGTCAAGTCCAGCTTCCAATGCATGTATGTCCAGGTTGGAACTCTCATCCTGCGCCAAGTCCATGGTACAGCGATTGGCTCTCAACTGAGCCCAGTACTCAGCCACATATGCGTCGCGAGGCACGAAGTTATCTGGCAGCGTATCTACGGACAATGGTTTACCAGTCACAACATCTTTTTGGAGCGATATGTGGACAACAGATTTGTCATCTTCCCGTCTCCAGCCTCAGGTCACCCGGCAGCTCCATTGGAGGCTCTGCTTCAGGCTGACTTTTACGGCGCTCCCATCGTGCTGGAACAGGTGGGGTCTTCGGAGTTCCTCGGCTTCGTCATCGATGTGGGCAACCGGGCAATTTACTACAAAACCCCAAGCAAAATCTGGCAGATAAGAGGGCCGCACACTGCAGGAAGCCTCTCCACCCTTCTCTCGGGGGCCAGATCACGGTCAGCCCTCGCCACCAAGTATGCGCACCCAGCCAGAGCAGTACAGATGGCACTGGATCAGCTCCGCAGTATTTATCTGTCCGCCGGCTACAAGTCAGCTGACCTGCAACACCTGTTTCATCTTTCGGCGATCCCAACCAGAAAGAACCTTTAAGCGCCAGTTTGTCGCCGCTTTTGATGTTAGGCAATGTGGCTCTCCTTTGTCTCTTTTCGGTTTTTTCCCCGGGCCTGTTTTGGCTCGTCTTGGCTTCTGCGTTCTGGCGTCAGTGTTTCTCTTTGGTTTTTGGTCCTTGTTTTTTTTTTGTGTTGATCACGGAGCTCATTCACTGGTTCAAACAGTATTGGCCTTCTCGCCGATCTCAGAGAGCTGTCGCCATGCTCGGCCGCATGATAGCACTTCATCATCGCATGACCCAGAATGCTGCGGATATGATGCAGCTCGTCCAGGAGACCTTGAATCAAGCTGACGAGGCACACAGTCGCCGGCGCCATGACGGGCAAGGTAGCTTGCAGCAACAATATGTCCGCGGCTGGTCGCTGGCAGAGTCATCGCGGCCACGAGCACTTGCTCCTGCTGGAGTCGATGAGGTCAACCCACCTGGCCCGGTGATGCTGAACTCGGTCAATTCGGAAACCCCGACAGACCCTCCGCCACACGTCGGCTTCCAGTCACTCCAGCTACACGCAGACCACAGGCACAACGTGGTGAACAACCCCAAGTCGCTGTCCTATGGCATCATCGCGGGGGACACCAACGATTCTATAGACCCGCGCTCGAAGAGCCCCATGGTGCACGATTATGTTGGCCAGCCGGGCATCAAGAAGGCCAACATTCCCCGCTCCATCATGGACAAGAAGGGTACTGATCGACGCAGAACCAAGCGGAAGAGATGCCGAGCTACATCTTCCGAGAATACAAACTCTCCGGAACCTCCGGCACGTCCAGCACCTCGCACTCCAGCCCAGGCTCCGGTCTCTCCTTGCGCTGGCCTGTTCTCCTCTCCTGAATCCCTTCCCGAACCTCCTGCTCATGCTCACTCCGATGCCGGCAACCCAGGAACTCCCCCGGAAGTACCTCGTGCCTGGACAGAAGAAGATGACCAGCAGCTTTGCAGCCTGAAAGCGGACAGCCGGTCCAAGTACTCGTACAAGTCACTGGCCAAGAAGCTCAACCGGTCCATCACGGATGTCACGCAGCGCTGGAAGAGTCTGGAGCGCCTCAGGAAAGTGCGGGAACAGAATCAGAAAGCCACCTGAACTTAGCCAGTGCGGCCACATGTCAAAATGCCTGCAAGTAGGCGAGCACAGGCAGAAGTTAAAAAAGCGACCAAATCACCCATCGAGAATCATGATGGAGGCGGCTTTCGGGTTTTCGGGGTTTTTGGGTTCCGGGGTTCGGTTTCTGTTTCTCCCCCTGCGGGGTGTGTGTGTGTGTGGCCCCCCTGTTTCTAAGGGGTTCCGCGGCTGTGTCTAGTTTTGGAGTCGGGTGCCACCATGCGGATTGCTGATTCAAAAGTACCCCGAGAGTGGCGATGGCACCCCTGTGAGGACGCCTCTCACGAGCGAAATTGTTTCAGGATAAGCATGCCGAAACTCCAACCTGATTCCGTGCTTGCGTCCTCCTACGTTTCGGGGTGCACATTCGCAGTTTGCCGTCTCATATCAAGTGTGTGTGCACCCGATGTGCTTGCGGCTCATGTGCTGTTTGCATACTGTACATGTGTGTACATGTGTGTGTGTGTGTCCTGCTTGCTTCTATTTCATCCTGCGAGAGTTGGGCCGCTTGCACCGCCATTTCTGTGGGCTGGGGCAAGGCGCAGCGGCGATTGGGGGAGTGGGTGGGCAGTGGGAACAATTGAGGCTCGAAGCAGAGGACTAGTGTGACGGGTGGTGGACATGTGTGAGAACACGGGACTCTCAAAATAGGCGTCTGAAGGACCTTTTGGTCGTGGACTTTTTCGCGATCCATCCAAGGGGCAGTCTCATATTTGAAGACATCCACATATCGAAATATGCAATCGGTCGTCATCCATATATAGGGACAGAGCAGTTTTGCGCGTCTCAAGTGTTGTGGCCCCACTAGCAGAATTTCGAGCGCCGGCACATTTGGATAACAGAAAGGAATCGCATCCACTGCAAAGAGTTGTAAGCAATTGCTCGCTCGAGCATTTGATTGCTCCGTGCGCCTCGAAGGACATATACGACCAGGCTGGCTGACTGCTGGTTTTGGGGCTTGACTTGTGAAACGTGGTAGTGCTACGCTAGGGTAAGTTTGGGATGGACACGGGGCCAAAACACACAATTTTATCATTCCCTTTTGGGGAACAAATAGTACTATTGCCAGTGGCTCACTTGCGCCTGTGGCAGATGTTGGGCGAATCCGAACGTAGGAAACTTTAGTTCTTTTTTTGGCAGGTGTTGAAGGGGAAGGTGCATGGCGTATTTGCTCGCACACGCATGCCAGGTCCGCAAGAAGAAGCAGAAGGGCTACGCCCTGCCGGCCTGTTGCACCTCTTCTTTTTTTTTTTTGCTTCATGCGTTTTAAGTCTTTTCCCCAGTTTTCACCTTTCCTCCAATTGGTGACTTGGTTTGGTGGCTTGGAGGGTAACCTCCCGTTGCGCGTCACAAAAGACTGGGTGGTGTGATTGGTAGGAGCCCCACCCTTTACCCCCAAACAGGTGACAACAGAAAGCCAGAGCAGAAGTCTTTCAAACGCGTTTTGTCGATTTTTGGGAGGCGCACAGCGTGGCTGGATGGGAAAGACTTGGGAGACCTAATGATTTTGAGATTCAGCCTTCAAACAAACATGCAAGCGAACAGGAAACAAAAAGGAGAGCAGTCTGCCAAATTGGGGCTGTGCATTCAGCTTGCTGGTAGGAGGGTTTTCCAATGCCTGGATTGGTGGACGGGTGGTTCAACAACCAGAACCGGGGTGAGAGTTGTGCAAGGAGTCGCCTCTCGTGCTCTCTCGTGAGCGTTCCTTCTCGGGTGAGGTGCGGATGGTGACCACCGTGGGTTGCCTCAACCTGGAGATCCACTGCAACATCGCCAGGGGCCCATGGATGATGCGGTTTTAACGGGTGCAGGTTTGTGCGCTGATGCGAGCGCAGGGAGAAAGGCCAACGGGTCAACTCACTGCTCCACCGACACCAACCTGCTTCACTTGGCGAGCCACTCCAGTCTGAGGATAGACTCCGTGTATTCAAGGGTTATGAGGCATGGCGACGAAGCATTTGGAGAAGTCTTGCATTTGGTTGCAGCCCGCAAGTCACAGAACAAAGATTCTATGGCGAGCAAATGTAGATCAGCGCCCCTGCTGCGCTCAGTACTCCACGTGCAGCCCTCGCAAGCATTCGACCAAGGCTCCCCGAACCAGCGACAACTTTCTTCGCCTTTGTGAGAAGAGCTACTACAACAACACGGCGCGAGGGTGGGATGGATGGGGGCGGGGTGGTGTGACCTGTTAACCTTTTAGGGTGGTGAAGCTTCTCCACTAGAAGTTTCTGAGCTGTTCAAAGTCCCTTGTAGAGTGATTTCCAGCGTCATGTGCGACACATCGAATTAGGGTGATCTTATTAGAGTTGCAAAGTATCTAATCAAAGAAAGTTTAGAAGGAACTTCCGTGGTACGGAAACTAATTGAAGGATAGCCGAGGATTAGAAAGATACTTGAAATATATTAGACAGAGACTTGAAATATATTAGAAAGTGCAGATTTCGTGGCAGGGGCAGTGTTCCAGCATCTTGTCTGAGTGCGCGAGAGAAAACGTGGCAGGGTGCAGGAAGTCGCTGCCAAAGATGTGCGAAAGGTACCTCTGCCGCGGCGCCTGTTCGGGACGGTCTCGGGACGGTCTCGGACGGGGGCCCATTGTAACAGCAACGCGGAGGTTTCGCAAGGTTAGAATTTCGTGGCAGGCGCAGCACTTTGGCGAGCCGAGGTATAGATGTCGTGGCAGGCGCAACACTTTCGCAAGGCCAAGTATAGATTTCGCGCAAGGTGGCGCATGCAGGTTTCGCGGCACGCGCAGCACTTTCGCAAGGTCAGGTGCAGATTTCGTGGCAGGCGCGACACTTTCGCATGGTCGAGTACAGATTTCGTGGCAGGCGCAGCACTTTCGCACGGTCAGGTACAGATTTCGTGGCAGGCGATACTTTCGCGGTGGCAGGCGCAGTATTTCGTGATCAAATGTACGATTCCACTCTTCCAGCTGCAGCTCCAAAATCGCAAAGGGACTTTCGCAAGGCTGGGCACAGATTTCGTGGCAGGCGCAATACTTTCGCAAGGATTTCGGGGCAGGCGCAGCACTTTCGCAAGATTTCATGGCAGCGCGGCACTTTTCCAAGGCTGGGTGCAGATTTCGTGGCAGGCGCGATACTATCGAAGGTACGATTCCACTCTTCCAGCTGCAGCTCCAAAATCGCAAAATTTAGGCACAGAAGTAGTATTCCAAGTGCACTTTTCCAGCTGCAGCTCGAAAATCGCAAAAGGACTTTCGCAAGGCTGGCAAAGATTTCGTGGCAGGCGCGATACTTTCGCAAGGTCAAGCACAGATTTCGTGGCAGGCGCAGCACTTTCGCAAGGTCAGGTACAGATTTCGTGGCAGGCGCAGCACTGTCGCAAGGTCAAGTACAGATTTCGTGGCAGGCGCAGTTTTTCGTATCGAAGGTACGATTCCACTCTTCCAGCTGCAGCTCCAAAATCGTCCAAAAGTACAAAAGTAGCATTCGAAGTACACTTTTCCAGCTGCAGCTCGAAAACCGCAAAAGGACTTTGCCAAGGCTGGGCAAAGATTTCGTGGCAGGCGCGATACTTTCGCAAGGTCAAGCACAGATTTCGTGACAGGCGCAGCACTTTCGCAAGGTCAGGTACAGATTTCGTGGCAGGCGCAGCACTTTCGCAAGGCTGGGTACAGATTTCGTAGCAGGCGCGAGACTTTCGCAAGGTCAAGGACAGTGCAGCACTTTCGCAAGGTCAGGAACAGATTTGGTGGCAGGCGCAGCACTTTCGCAAGGTCAGGTACAGATTTCGTGGCAGGCACGATACTTTCGCAAGGTCATGTACAGATTTCGTGGCAGGCGCAGAATTTCGTGATCGAAGGTACGATTACACTCTTCCAGCTGCAGCTCCGAAAAAATTACGTACAACAGTAATTACACTTTTTCAGCTGCAGGTCGAACTTCGCAAAAGTCGAGTACAAAAGTAGTTTGCGAGCTAGATAGATAGCTAGATAACTAAGTGGATAGATGGATAACAAAGTATTCGGGTAGAGACAGGGATAGACCAATATGCAGATGTCGGTCGTGCTGAGCTCTTGCCGCGCGTGTTGTTTTTTGGCTTGCAGTGTCTGGTGACTTGAGCTGTCTACACCGAACACACTAACACTAGAGTCAACAGAGGTAACGAACAAAATGTTGTCGACAACTACAGACTTCTTCACAGGCCTCGCGCAAGCCTAAGGCAACTTGTTCCAGTCACTGTTTGTTGCTTGTTTCTGCAGGACAGACACGCCAGAGCATAGACAACCGCACGGGAGAGCATGCAGAACAACACACTGTTCCTTAGCAAACGGTTTCGCCTCGCGGTTCAGGCCGCGAGGCGCGCGAGGCGTTTGCTTGAAATGAAGTGCGGCTGGGAGGTTCTGGGAGCGAATGTTTTTGACATGGCATGTTCAAGGAGCAACGAACAACCAGACCCTTGTTAGATTTCAAACAATGGTCCACAATCGAAATTGAGCACACGTCTTAATCAAATGTTGAGGACAATAAAATACGGGACTCTTATTTGATTGGAATGGAGTTTGAGCAGGTTTCCATATGGGGTTTTAATCAACATGCGAAGCACATCTCAATAAACATTATGCATCGGTATCTTTGAATATCTTAGACTCTTTGCATGTGTCGCAGACCACCCCAGATGTGCTTTTTTGCGAATCTCGCATCGGCCAGATCTTCCATCGGCTTATCCACAACTTCATGCTGCAGGCGCTTCGGGCTGCCTTCGCAGGTCGGCCGTGGAGATCTAATGTCTCCCTCGTGGAGGTTGTTTGGTCCTTGATTTCAGTTGCACCTGGAACGACCCAGGATGGGCACAATGAACAGATTTAAAAGTTATTGATCACTTTCTGAAGCGTGGCGGATGGAAACGACGGGATCCGAGTTTCCTATTAGAACATACATGCAGGCCTGGCAAAGAAACAGGGAGGTTCCGGACAGCGCGAGCTGTTCTAGGAGACGCGGGGTGGCTTTTTGCCACAAACCTTTGTGACTGAAGGCAGCAACAACAAGAACAAAAGCAGACTCATGGACGCCCACCCTTTCGCAACATATTTTGCTTTGGGGGCGTCCAAACAGTGGTGTTTCCTGGAAAACCTGCTGAGTGGTCCCCTATTTCGAGGAGCCCATTCAATTGCAATTGATCTCCGCAGGGCGGGGATCCCACCGGCACGGGCCGCGGCGGCGAGAGCGCCTTTGAAGGCAGGGGTTCCGGTCTGGAATTCCGTTTTCTGTAAGACCTGTTTAAGGAACAGAAGCAGTGGGGCGGGTGTTGCGCAAAAAGAGACTCCCCTTTCTCAGTCTGGTGCCACCACGCCCCAGAGAACAAAAAGTGCTGCAGCTTGGAGCAGGTGGGTCTGATTTTGACCGGCTAAAAGCTTGTCCAGTTTGGTTTTGCAAGTGCATGTGTTTGTATTTACATGTATATGTATGAACGTACGCACATATACATACACACTTATATGCATATACATATACATCCGGGACTTCCGGTCGGCGTTGGCTTCTGGCCGGAACTTGAGGCGGCAAGCAGTTCAAGGACGAATTCGACTCGCGGTTAGTGCACCAGGGCCCCGGGGCCCGGGGGCCTGGAGCGACCAGCAGCGCCTGTGCGGGGGCGAATCTGCTTGGTGTCCCTCTGAAAAAGAACGATGGCTAAACAGAACGGAATCTGGATCAACTATTGGAAGCATGCCGTCGTTTTCAAAGGTTTTTCCCTTTTTGCTGGCAGGAGGCAGTGGATTAGGCTTTGTAAGGGTTGCAAGCATCGTGGTGTTGACAATTTTCAAGTCGGAAGTGCAGGGCGCCCCTGCTGGATTTAGGGTTTCTCTTTGGGCTGTGCGGAGTTGACTCTTTGGCTCCAACAAGTGCTTTTGTGAGTTGGCACTCCTCCAAACAGAAGCCGGACAACCCAACATGGAATCAAGGGGCATCCGCCTGGAAGAACATTTTTCTTCATGAGGTGCCCTTTCTGAGAGGAAGGGGCACTCCCTGTGAGGTTCCATGTTGGTGAGATTGTGCTTGTCGTTTTTGGAGGCGACTGGAAGCGGAACGTAAAGGTTCCAACCTATTGCAGGATTGGACGCATGAGGTATGCATGCCAAGCACGGGCCTGAAAAACCAGTGCCCGGGGCTTTAAGGGGTGACGCTGTACGAAGGGTTCCATTGTCAAGCAAATCTTTTCACCTTTCAGACCCGGTCCCATCAGGGAATGCTTAAAGCAGCTCTAAGTACTGGTATAGTAAGGTGCTGCTTGGCAATGACAATCAAGACTTATTTGGGGGTTACCAGGGGTGTGGTTTGGGAGTGTTTAGGTCCACCATAGTTGACAGAATGAAGATCCTTCGGAAATCCATTTTTTGATTTATGACCGTTTGTGCAGACATGAAGACGAACGCACAGATACAAAACCAACGATGATTCCCCGCCGAAGAATCGTGTGGATCGATTTCGCTGCTCGAAGTGGGCGCGGGATAAATCAGAAAACAAATTGCAATATGCATATGGTATACGTTATGATTATCATACAACGAATATACGAATATCATCCTGTGCGCTATCTCTATGAATACTCATACATTCTTGTTTGTAGAGTAACTGGTAGCTTAGAGCACGCTTCCTCAGGCATTTCTTTTTTCAGCCTTTGGCACGTGATTGCTCAGGTGGTCAGCATGGCCAACAACGGGAAGAACACCAACAGGCGGGAGGGCAGAAGTCAACTCTGAGCTGAATTGTTGCAAGACCCATTGGGGAATGAATCAAAGCGGGGAGGGGGGGAGACTCGTCCAAAGCTAAACTTTCCACACACTTTCCAACTTTTCAGATGTCATTAGTTGTGTTTGTCCAAAATCGAAGTTCCAACCCTTCAAGCTTTATTTGCAGACTTTGTGTGGCTGCGGGCAAGACCGAGAGTTTCAGCTGCGCTCAAGGTCGTGGGTTTTGAGCCAGGCATCACATGGACAGGCTTGCTTCCCCAAACCCTGGCAACTGTTCCGTTGAGTAAGGTTGGCGGCGCATCGCGCATCCTGTGACATCTACTGAGCGACGGGCGGGACCACACAGTTACAAGCAAACAGGCAAGCACAGTGCAGCAAGAGGGACACAAGAACAGCAGATAAATCAGATGCAACCTTATCATCTTCAAGCCCAGGGTGTACCGCACAATCTTGTCCCAAAAAGTCCCAAAACAAGTGGCATAGGGACCACGCCTGGCAGGAGTCAGTTCTTCGTGTCGCTCAAGTCTTGCGAGCACCTCAACAACAAGCACTCTGTGCCGGGCTCCCAGACTCCAAAAGGGCTCCAAACGGGCTCCAAAGGGGTTGCAAAAGCGCTTTTGAGCAGCTACCGCATTTGGGTTCACCCAAATGGCCAGGCTTTCAGGGATAGCAAGTAAACAGAGAATGCCCGTTTGCCGCAAGCCAACGAGCACGGAAGCAAATTGATCGTTTCCAGCACGAGACTGAGTGGACAGCCCTGGCCGATTGTACTGGGTCCCCGTACGAAGGGCCTCGTGCCTTTATCCTTGGCCGTGTCAATGTAAACAGTCAGAAGATTGACCGCGGAGCGGAAGTTGCTCCGTCGCAACTTTTGTTGCTGGGACTCTTGCAATTTGGAGAGCTTGTGCACGGGCACACTCTTCGAGCAAATTCTTTCACTCTGCGTGGATGAAGGGCCCTGAGCTCAACACCTGTGCGGAGCTTGCTGTTGCGTTCGTCTTGGCCTGTATGCCTTTCCTCCTTGTGCCGGATGTTGATTGACGTGATCCAACGTCTTACACCCCGGGCTCTTGCTGCAAGTGCAGGAGTGTCCACCTCCATCGAGGAAGCGCTGAGAGGATGGAGGAAGTGGCGCTGCAGCACCCAGCCATCATGATGGGAGGGCTGAGCCGGCTGACCCAGCAGGTTGTGGGCGAACATCAAATTGACCTTCAGGATCTCCCCCAGGAGCTGCGCCAGGAGGACGCCGGAGATCAGCAGAGGCGGCAGGGTCGGGTGTTTTGTCCGGACAGGTGGAATCCTTGCGGAAGCCACCGAGGATGCGAGAAGGGCACCAAATCATTTACCCGCAGCAGAAGTGCAACGACAGAATTCCAGTTCGCCCAGGCGTATGGTTACCCCCGTTGCCGTGCGTCGGATCATTGCTTTGCTTCGCTTGGCGACTGTCTTGCTTTTTGGGTTGGGGAGCTCCAGAACTTTGTGGACCGTCGTAGGGCTTGTTGCGTTCTCCAAGTTTCGTTGCGCAGGCCTTGCCAACTTCCCAATGTTGTGTTTTTGTACTGTTTCTGGGTCTGCGGTTGTGTGGTGCAGCTCATCGGTGTTTCTTTGTTTCAGTCAAGTTTGTCAAAGCATTCTTACCTGGAGGGCTGGCACCTTTTTTTTCCTCTGGACTTCGAGCAGTTCTGTGGTCAGAGGGTCGCCAAATTTTGCCCACAGCATGTAATTCTGCTTTGAGGTTTCGGGTTTGATGAATCTTTGTGATTAGCCATGGTTTAATCCACCACCAGGGATGTCGCGTTAGTGACTGACCGGTGGTGTTTGGCTCAAGTTTAACGGGTTCCGTCGCGCCTCGGATGGGCGTCGCCGAACCCCTGCGTCGACCGACGGCATCTCGGGGGAGAAAGAGACCTCGGGCCGTCGCCTGGTTGGTAGGGACCATTCGTGCGGCCTGTCGTCGATCAAGGTTGCGGGTTAACTCTTTTCTCTTTTGGTTGTTGTTCTCTGGTGTGTGGGAAACCCTGATCTTTGGGACCGGGGATTGGTTTGCTTTTGGGGAACCTTTCTTTTGTGGCTTGTTTACCCCAACTTACCCATTGCCTGGGCACAGGCTCGTGCCCGAATCACAGGTTATCAGCCGTAGGACTTTCCTACGCGCTTGAGACCATCAACTATAAGCTCAATGACGTCGACCCCACGATCTTGCAGGAGCGTCGTGGATGAGGAGGCTATCCTAGGAGGTCTCCGCCCCAGGTGAGGACCTACCGGCGAGGACTTCGAAGCAGGTTCGACAGGTCAGGAACGTAGGGGTAACGATCCCGATAGGGACACACCCCGAAGCCGTGGCAGGTACACTGACGATGGAGACGACCGCATTTTCCGTCAGGCCACCGATGATGAGCAAGGACGAGGAGCTCGCCCCGATAGGAGCGGCTCCGAATCAGGTTTCGGACGAGGACATTTGGACTTCATCAGTATGGCGATGAACATGGCCCGCCCTCATACGGACGACCTGGAGGCCATGCCTACTCGACCTCCAAGGCCTCTTATTCCAGGTGAATCACAGGCCTCGGATGAGTTCGAGGACAGGCCGCGAGGACCAGGAACCATGGTTTTGGCTCCGAGAGATATCTCGCGTCAAGCAACCGGTTCTCAAAATCCAGGTCAGTTTGATGAGCGCGAGGAGAGGGCGTTTGCGGGCATCGGATACGATGACCTGTTATCGTCAACCGCAGGTTGGGGCGGTGGCGTGAAGCATGAGTCTGATACTGATAGGCCCAACCCAGATTCGGCGACTCCACTTGAGTTCGATAATGATGAAGATTATGCCGCGTTTGCGGAGGCTCGTGAGAAGGAAGAGAGCTTATCTTACCGGAATGCGAGGAGCCGTGAAGCTGCGAGAGCCAGGAGCCTCACTCGTGGTGCTGCAAGGGACATTCGCGAGGACAGGGACACCCGGAGTGAGAGAGAACGGATCCGGGAGAGTCGGGATAGGGGTTTAGAGGCCATCCATGACGGAAGAGGACCGATAGGTCCTCCCGTGATTGATCATGTCCCGAATGTTCCCCCTTTTCCCAACACCACTTTTGGAGGACCGCTGCGTCAGAGGGTCGAGGATGTAAACCGGGGTACTGGTTCATCCAGGATCACTGAACGGGCCGCCAATGTGGTTGAGGCAGGTGCGAGGGACGGAAGACTTGCTAGTGCACTTGAAATCGAGGATCGTACGACGATCGCTAGCCCGTTAGGGCGAGATCTTAGCGACCTCGAACCACTAAGGTCTAGCAATGAGTTCACTCCCCAATGGGGATCAGCCAGCAAGGAACGTAGTGCTTCTGCAAAGAGGCCGTCACCCTTAGCCGGAGGGACCGATAGGTCAAAGGCGAGGAGGGCAAGCCCTGAACCGTTAGGTTCAACGCCGCAGGATGAGGACATGTTTGATCCTGCTGATATTCATATTCACTCCACTCCTGAATCTCGTGGTTCGAATGTTAATCCCAGATCCGGCGATAGCCGGGGAAGGGGCGTCAGCCCGAACACGCTGCTCAGGATCACTGATGATCCTGTTTCCGACCCCAGGGTGAGAGGATCGAGATATCGACCCCTCCGGCCCTCAGATCTCATTCCTCTGGAGAATCTGGTGATACCAGAATTAAGGAAGTATTTGATTTGCACATTCAGGAGAGGCGAGGCCTCTAGCTCTGTTGTGAACACTTTCAATGCTTTTGCTAATCAAATCAGGTTATTGAACAGCTTGGCTACCGAGATTGCAACCCAGGCGGATGCTGATCGGATGCGACTGATAGTTCAACGGTTTGCCGGTGAGATCATTCCTGATAGCAGAGCAGTCGTTAGACATGCTATCGATGAGCAGAGCGAGGCCGTGGATCAGAGGATCAACTCACTCTCCAACGAAGTCCGGGAATCCGTTAGGGAAGTAGAGGGTGGCATGAGTCAGCTTCACCAGGTTGTTCAGGATAAGCGTCATGCTATGTTCAGAAGCCAAGCTGCCTTTGAGGACCAGACCAATACTGAGATTGAGAAGTTCGAGAAGCGACTTTATTCGATAGAGAAGGCCGTTAGGCTGACCGCATCTTCTGATGCTCCGGCTGCATCGGGGCCCGACAGGGCCACTGGCAGCGATACTGACGTGAATTTCAGGGACTTAGCCGCGAGAGTCGATAGACTCCAAGGTGAGAATGACCGGGGTGCTGAATGGGCTACACGGGCCATTGGCGATCTCCAGGATGAGCGCAGGACTTTCGCTGACCAAATGCTGGAATCACGGGGTGGCAGAGGGTACCATGTTGTCGACAGACCTAGGGATCCCGATGCCCCTCAGGATTGGCGTGAGGCGATCGAGGAGATCAACCGGAAGATTCAGGATCTTACCCGTGGATTCTATCGCCAAGGTCGGAACCACGATATCGTTGTTGAGAAAGTCGAGACCGCGAACGCCCGTATTGCTGCGGTCGATGAGAATGCACGAAGGCTTCAACAGGCTGTGCAAGCTATAAGGACTCAGCTTTCCAATCTTCCTTCAAGCACGGAACAGACACAGGCCATCGTTAGACGGGAGCTTGTCTACTCTCGCAACATGCTAGATGCGACCATGCGAAGGACTGGCACCGTCGAAAGCAACATCCGTGTCCTGAATGAAATGAATACCCAAGTTATGGGGCAGCTTGCCGAACTCGAGGGACATGTTGATGACGCGGCCGATATGATTCAGGTAGCTCAACAGAATCCTCGTGGGCCTCAAGGCAGACCAAACGTCGGGTACAACGCTCTCGCTGGACAAGGACACAGGATTAGGTCTCCGACGCCCAACCCTGGAGATAGAAATGCTCAGAATCCTGTCCCGGGCCCGACCGGGGGCATTAGCATAACTGATCATGTCTTCGGGGACAGTAGGAGAGCCAATGTGGGTGATCAACCCCTGGTCAACAACGGTTCGAGCTTGCCGAGCGTGCCCGGTAGGGCTGAGGCTGATCCTCATGTCAACAGACGTTCTATTTCTCCGTTAGGGAGGGGGAGGATAGCCGAAGCATAAGGGCTTTGCAGATGCAGGATAGGTCTTACTCTCCGCCGAGGCGTATGAGGGATAATCCACGATCACGTGCCAGTTTCAGTTTCCCCGAACAGGGATGAAGGTAGGAACAGGAGTCCAAGGGCTGCCAATACAAAGCCTGAGGGCAGGGGTTGGGGGTCGACTGCACCCCGAAACCCCAATCGCCAACAAAGGGATATCCAAGGCAACAGGGCCCGAGGTGATGTTCCAAGTCCTGGCGATAGCCGAAGGAACCCAGCCAAGTGCGCCTGATGGCGATGGACCTGATCTCTCGAGAATATGCGCTCAGGACAACCCGAACGATCGAAGACACCCGAATGCGAGTTTCACCTGTGTTACGTGCAAACGTAAATTCTGCCAGCTGTGCAAGGGTGATGATGGAGACTGTTAGAATTGCCAGCTCTTGAAAATGAAGTGCTGGGCCTGTCGCAGGAATGCTCAGGAGATATCCATGTATTCCTGTACTGACTGTGAGAAGAACATCTGTA